GGCCCGAGTTTGATGTTTGGCAACACACACACATACACACACACACACACATATACACACACAGATGGACACACAGACACCTTCTGTTTCACACAGATTCACAAATCAATCTCTATATCTGTCACTCACACACACACCTGTTTCACATAGATTGCACAAATCTGGTTAGATTTTCAACAGCACTTGGTTCTTTTCTATATCAAGTGATGAAGTATTGAAAGGTTGAGAGTAGGTTGGTAGTTAAGTACAGGTAGACTTAGTTTAAATTGATACTTAAAAGTAAGATGAGGTTGCTCTGGTTTATTTTTAAGTCTTTCCTTAATTTTTCCTTTTTCACACACTATAGTTCAATTGAAATACTTTGCTGTATTCTCTTTCTGTCATATAATTTAAAATGCGCTAGAGAAAAGAAACCAAGCCAATAGTAAATACAGGGGCTGGAGCTGCAATACAGCGGGCAGGGCGTTTTGCCTTGCGCCCAGCCGCATCCCATGCTCTTAGCCCAGCCGGGGGTGATCTCTGAGCATGGTAATCCCTGGGTATGTCCCCCAAACAAAATAAAACCCAAAATAAATACATACTTCTATTTGTCTTCTGGCTTGACATTTAAGCATCACACTTGACGTAAATTCTAGGTTCTGAGTGCCAGAAAAGAAATAGTGCCCGGTGCTTGGGCTTATCTTCGATATCCCTGCTTTGTTCCTGCTAATTCGGTGAACTTTAGTGATGGTCAGAGGCTTCTAAGTAGGAGAGTAGCTCCTGTCAGTGCCAGTTTCCAGATGGTGTCTCTCTGTTCCAGCCCGTCACAGCAGTTTTAAAACCAGTTTTTGTTTTTGTTTTGTTTTGTTGCTCTGTTTGTTTTTTTTAACAGGCGAGCCGGTGTGAGCCCTTCTGGACTGGAGTGGCACTCTGCACCTGCGTGTGCCCGCCGTGCCAGCGCTCGTTCGGGCAGCAGCACCCTGCTAGGCTGGGGCCTCTGTTGAGGTTTGCCCTCTCTTTTCTAAAACCTCTAAACTGCCATACCGTGTGCCTTGGTGGAAAAGGTAAAAAGTGCATGAGAATTCCAGACTCCCCTGCAGAAATGTTGCCGCCCACGCCAGAGGGACTGTCCCCTCTCCCTGGGTCTGTTGGGAGCGAGTAGGTAGCATCTTCCCTTGCCAGGGACCCGCAGGTGGCAGTGTCCCGGGAGCTGTTGCCCCTGCAGGTTTCCGAGCAGAGACTGTCTTTCCGGCGCTTTCTGACCTGCATTGCTGCCCTCGTGCGTGAGTGGGCCCCTCTTTGGGGCTCAGGCCCTTAAAATGACCTTTTCCCTCTGTCTCTCGATATTGTGTAAAGGAGGATAGACCCGAGGATTTTTCTCGGGGAAGAGCCAAAGCAGCGAATGCGTGAGATTCAAGTGTTCTCTGAAGCGTGGGTGGTACCTTGGGGGTCCATCGAAAGCGTGGCACTTGAAGCTCTGCTTCCTGTGCTCACTGGCGAGGGAGATGGAGAGGAAAACCTTGGTGGCATGGAGGGGATGCGCCCTGACGCTGCCCCCGGCTCTCACGGACCTGGCTGGTGAGCAGAGCAGGCTCACAAGCCTGCAGAGGGGCACTTGGTAGGCGCTCTGAAGTCGGCAGGTTTGCCGCCAGCTCAGGGCAAGTAGTGATCATTCTCAGGAAGAGTTGGAACTGACATGGAAGGGTGTTCTGTGGAGCTGCAGTTCAGCCTCTCCAGCCCTGGTTGTACAGTTGTGCTCTCTGGCAGGTGATTTAATGCCCCAGGAGTTCATGTTGCTGAAATGGTTCTCTGGGGAGCAGGAGAACATGTTGGTAGCTTGTAGGTCTTAGTGACTAATACAGAGCTTAGCGCAACAGTGTTGTCTGGGTTGGAACTCGGACTCCCTTTGCTCAACCCGTTCCCACCTGTGGCCAGCAAATCACTTTGGAGTTGATGAAAGAAATTGGAGGGAACATATTTCATGAGAGTATTTTAATGCCAGGCACAATTTTGAATGGTTTATGTAATCCAGAAATTAATTTTTAACTATGGTAACAAGCCCTTGCCACAAAGAGCTTTGGATGAGATTTGGGGAGAAAGAAATGCTGGCTCGGTTGGATTCTTTGTACTTGTTACGCAGATGGGGAAAATGCATCATATTTTCTGAAAGTATCCTAAACTCTTTGAGAGAAAGGGCATCTTGAGGTATTTATTCTGTGAGGTGCTTATTCTAGATGGGATTTCTAGAAAGTTGGCTCAGTTGAGCCCTGGGACGGTAACCTGCAGTAAGCACAGCCCACCACTTCACTTACAGAGGCCCCAGGACCCATGTGGGCAAAATGGGAGCTTGACGCCCCTCCCCCAGATATATTTTGCTCCTCTAAGATTTAGGAATAAATTGAATTTTAATCCAGATTATCTATTAGACACAAGGGTTTGATCATCAGTTACTTCAGTTCTCTAGAGTTACTTGATTCCTAGGGGGAATTGCTGACTTAGAGGTGAGCCTGCCTGGGAGGGATTAGGCTCTGTTTCTTACAGCAGCAAATGATCCTTTTGAAAAATAACTTGTTGGAAATAGTTTATATGGGCTCAGTCCTAGTTAAGAATTAATGTTAATAAATTGGGTCCAAAGTACTGGAATATAATTGCAGTTTTGTTTCACTAAATGTTGTTTGAAATTAGTGGGGCTTTGTTAGGATTGAGAAGTAATCTTTGGGGCCAGAGAGAGAGTACCGGGGATGGGGCACTTGCCTTGCATGTGATGGACCCAAGTTCAGTCCCTAACACCCCATATGGTCCCTCAAGCCCCACTAGGAGTGATTCCTGAGTGCAGAGCCAGGAATAAAGCTGGGCAGTGAGGCTCCCAGCCCTCTGCCCAACCAAAACAACAACAATAAAATATTTTGTGGAAGTAATGTTAAAATGAGATTTACTTTTTATTGAAGGAGACACATGAGGTGGGGCAGGAGATAATTATTTTTGTGTTCTCAGGAGGTTTCAGGCTTACATTACTAGGTCCTGTGCTCTCTCTGGTTTTATGGCAACGTACCAGCACGCTCAGGATATTGTTTCTGTACCTCATCTATGGCACAGTCCTCCCTCTTCATCATAACGGATGTTATCTAGACGCAGGGGTCTTTGCTTGAGGAGAGTGACGGGGTTGGCATTGGAATTGCAGGGAGGGAAACATAGAGCCAGTTTGGGAAAAAGTTGGAAAATATCAGCCAGGGTTATTAACATCAGCACCAAATTTTTTAAATTTAATTTTATTTTTATAAGGTTGTTCACAGTAATTTATTACATTTGCTATTCCAACACCAATCCTGCCACCATTACACCTTCCCATCACCATATTTCCAATGTTCTCACCCTGAACCAACCCCAAATCCTGCCCCCATAGCACAAGCGAAATAATTTATTTTATATTTTATGAATAATCTGCTAAGAATTTCCTTAGAGGAAAGTGTCTGAAAATTGTTGTATATTTCACCCTGGAGCCTTTAAGCCCTTCTATAAGAGATTAGTAAACATGTTACTAAAGGTTGAGGCTTGGATGTTTACACGTGTGTGTGTGTGTGTGTGTGTGTGTGTACGGGGGGGGGGGGGGAGAGAGAGAGAGAGATTGATTTTCCCCCTGAGATTGGTTGCCTTCTACTTTAAACCCCATCAAATGTGGTTGCTACTCTTGGTACATCAGTGATGTAATGTCTGAGATATCTTGCGGCATTAAATTTATGACAATGAAAGAAGCAATAGCTTCTCTTGGGATGATTCTGCTGAGCCTCAAGCATCTTTTCAAAGCCTTAAATGTGTAGTCTTTTGTAACTACACAAATATTTGTGAAAGGAATTGCATGCTCAGTGTGCCATTTGAAAATATTCGGTTTAATCCAAAAAATAGGTGACCATTAATATGTAACAGACTTGGAGGGTCCATTATAATCATTTTTGTTCCTTCTTAGCTCCTCACTTCCCTTCTGTGGAGTATGGAGGCTGCCATTATTGACTCTATTATCTATCCTAGACATACTCTGGAAGATTGTTTTTTTCCCCCAAAGATTGGTTTTCAAATGGAAAAGTTGAATCTTACTCATTAAAATATTAGCACTGACTTGGAGAAGCAGACTAATTGCAGTGAAAATTAGTTTGTGTCATAGGTAAAATATAACTGTAGATCGAACTATAATAGTTGCTTTATGACTAGAATGGATTATTTTGGCCTCATTACACGTTAGCAAAATTTTAGGTCTTTCATTTTTAATATGGCTTGCCCATAACTAGAGAGTGATAAAAGGATGCTCATTTAAATATTTAATTTGAAGAAACCTATTAAAAGATTCAGCTGTTGAAAAAGCAGCATTTTCTTTATGCTGACATTCTAAAAGTCTTAAAGAAATCTTTTTTTTTTGGTGGGGGGAGGTGTTGTGCCTGGCTGCGCTCAGAGGCTGCTCCTGCATCAGGGGGGCACTGCTGGTGGTGCTGGACAGCAAACCTGCGTCTCCTGGAGGCAGAGCTGGTGCTTCCCGCCTTGGGGTGCTGTGTGACTTTCAGAGGGTTTTTTTTTTTTTTGGTGCAGTGCTCAGGGCTCAGGGATTACTCCTAGCTGGGCCTGAGGACTATATGGGATGCTGTGGATAGAACCCTGGTCCACGGCAAGGCAAGCAAGTGCCTTACCCACTAACTACACTTTAGCTCCGGCCCACATTATGCATTTTAGGTTTTTCTTTTCGCCTTGCAAATGTTGTGAAAGAACGCAGAGGAGGGAGGGTTTCGCTCAGGTTTCTGAAGGAGGAGACCTATTCTGGAGTTCCTGGTAATTCTCTGTCATCGCTCTTGTTGTACTCTGTCCTGTTTCCACTGAGTGACAGCTGAGTGCTAGTAACTGCTTGGGGCAGCACAGAACATGGAGTTTTGAGGAAAAAGAGAAAATGGTCAGGTTTAGGAGATGGGAGAAATTGAGAAAAGGTAGAAATGCTCTCATTTGCCTCTGCTTTAATTGTAAACTTCCTCTCTGTGCAGTGTACAAGTCTCCGGAGTATGAGTCCCTTGGCTTCGAGCTCACCGTGGAGAGGCTGGTTTCTATTGGCTATCCCCAGGAGCTGCTCAGCTTTGCTTATGATTCGACGTTCCCTACCAGGTAATTATTCAAGACTTTTTTTTTTTTTTTGCAATAAGATCCGATCCTTCCTTCTCTTCCCCAAATTAGTAACTCGAAAATCACTCCCGACCAATAACAAGCAGGAAAACAGGAAAAGGGTGTTTGATCCTAAGACCACCACCCTTCTTTCTACTGTTCCTGAACTGAACTTAGTGTATTAGTTGAAGAAGATCCATTGAGTCGGGGATGTCGCTCGGCGGGGGCACCTTGTGTGTGAGGGGGACCCTGGTCAGCCTGCAGCACACACCGCAGATCTGTGTACAGGAATAAAGGGGCCAGTCAGAACTGACGGGCATCCCGTTGGCTCCTCCTCCCTCTGATAATCAGAGAGCAGTTATGTGTTTCTGTAATATACTTTGCTGGTCAGCATGAGCCTCTTGGCAATTTGCATTTCTATCTTTTCCTTCATTTTTTTGGTGTGTGCTATGCTGGGGGTTGATTCTGTTTGTATGTGCCCTGTGTCCAGTAACCAAACAGGACTGCAGGCCAGCTCTGTTGCCCAGGGAAATTGAAAGGCTTTTCGAGTGAATCCTCCTATATTCACAGGAGTCATAGTTTAAGCCTTGTTTCTTTATGTTCTTACTGCGTGCAGAAGACCGTGAGGAGGCCAGAGAGAATACAGGGAATACAGTGCTTGCCTTTGATTGCTGCCAACCCTGGTTTGATTTGTGGCACTGAGCACAACCAGGAGTGATCCCTGAGCACAGAGCTAGGAGTGACCTCTGAGCTCTGTGGGTGTGGCCCAAAACACCCCCGCCACACACAATAAAGAAAAGTTGGAATAATTTTTCTGGACAGTTTTTGAAAAATGTGATCTTTATTGATTTATCCTTGGTCTAGAATACTAATGGAATGTTGGGGCTAGTGTTATGCCTCTATGTGTGACACTCATCACACCAAGTTCTGCTGTCACCCTCTCCCGAAAGGCTCCTCTGCTCAGGCCTTCCTCTCCTCCTCTTTGATTCTAGCAGACACCATAGTTTTCAGTCGAAGTCCTGAAATGCTGCTGTTGTTTTTTTTTTAATTGACAGTTTATTTGCATGCTGTTACATTCAGCATATGAATGAAACTACCCAGTATTTGTTTTCCTTCCTAATTTCACTTAGGATTATTACCTCACCATCCATCCATTTTGTCCCAAAAGGTAGTTTAATGGCAGACTAGTATTTCATTGAATTAATATAAACCACAGCTTCTTTATTCGGTCATTGTCAGAGTAAATATTTTTTATTTCCTTTGAGATTAGTTTTTAAGATTTTGTTCCCTCATTTTGCCGCTAGGGCTATTGGGACATACTTGATTTGCCATAATGTTTGGTTCAGAGGAGGCTGTTTCTTGGTGACGGAACAGGGGTGCTGGAACGAGAGGTTAGTGGGTCAGGCACTTGCCTCACACACATCCAGCCCGGTGCGGTCCCTGCTGCCACAGCTGGTTCCCGAAGCAGAGCCAGGAGTGAACCCTGAGCACAGCCAGGGATGGTCCAAAACCAGAAACAACTGGAACAGGAAGGGAAGTCAGCCGAAGGAACGAAACCTGTGCTAGTCCCACTCATGGCCCTGCGTCCTTCCCCTCTCGTCAGCACCATAGGGGTGGCCTGTAGGCCCCAAGCACAGGCAGCCGGGCAGAGTGGAGACGCTACTGAGCCCTTGAGAATGCCTGGGCAGCGGCTCCTCAGAGAAGATGAGCAGGAGCACCGTGGGCTCGCATCAAGACCCACCGCGCCTCTGCTTCCTTTGTGCGTGCATGTTCTGTGTAGAGCGTTCTGTGGTCTGTGAAGTATGGAGTTGGCAGTGCATGCCTTCATTCAGTGTCGCACAGTGATGCGAAGTGAGGTCATGCTTCGGGGAAAATGGTGCCAGTAAGTTTGCTTGAGGCAGGGTTGCCATAAAATTTTATTTTTAAAAAGAACAGTATCTGTGACTGGCCTCCAAGCCATGGTAAACCTCCTGGTACTAATCTCGGCTCTTCTTGGGTGTTAGTCTCCTATTTTGTTACTTTATGTTCCCCAGATGAATGCAATCTTTCTATGTCTATCCCTCTCTTTCTGACTCATTTCGCTTAGCATGATGCTTTCCATGCATTACCACTTGTATGTAAATTTCATGACTTCATCTTTTCTAACAGCTACATAGTACTCCAGTGTGTAGATGTACCAAAGTTTCTTTAACCAGTCATCAATTCTTGGGCACTCAGGTTTTTTTCCAGATTCTGGCTGTTGTAAACAGTGCTGCAATGAATAAACAAGTGCAGATGTCACTTCAACTATACTTCTTGCCTCTCTGGGATATATTCCCAGGAGTGGTATTGTTGGGTCAAATGGGAGCTCAATTTCTAATTTTTGGAGAATCGTCCATACTGTTTTCCACACATGCTAGGGGAAAGGACAGCTCAGATAGAGAAGGGAGCACCAAATAAAGGGTGTTGGGAGGATCTTCCCAGGATGGGAGAAGCATGCTGAAAGTAGACTATAGACCAAACATGATTGCCATTCAATGCCTCTTTTGCAAACCACAACACCCCAAAGGAGAGAACAGAAGGGAATGCCCTGCCACAGAGGCAGGGTGGGATGGGGGGGTGGGGGGCGAGAGGGATACTGGGATCCGTAGTGGTGGAAAATGGGCACTGGTGGAGGGATGGGTATTTGATCATTGTATAATTGAAACCCAAGCACAAAAATTTGTAAGTCTACAACTGTACCTCATGGTGTTTCTCTAATAAAAATTAAAAAAAAAAAACAGTCTCTGGAGCCGGAGTGTTGGTAGAGTGGATAGGGCACTTGCCTTGCATGCTGCCAACCTGGGTTTGACCCCTGGCATCCTATATGGTCCCCCAAGCCTGCCAGAAGTGACTTCTTACCCCAGAGCTGGGAGGGAGGAGGGAGGGAGGGGGGAGGGAGGGATGAAGGAAGGAAGGAAGGAAGGAAGGAAGGAAGGAAGGAAGAAAATAAGGAAGGAAATAAGGAAGGAAGGGAGGAAGGAAGGAGTACAGTAAAATGAGGAGTGTTTGTATTGTGCTGTTGATAATGTCTTCATTTTCATCTAGGGGACTTGTCTTTGACACACTGTATGGAAATCTTTTGAAAGTTGATGCCTATGGGAACCTTTTGGTGTGTGCACATGGATTTAACTTCATAAGGGGGTGAGTACAAAGAACCTTTAGTGACTCAGCGTGTTTAGTCACTGTGAAGATGATACATCTCCCGAATGTAATATTTATTCCTATTCCTTATCAGTGAAGAGCAGCTCTTTTGCATAAGATTACTTGATACTTATTAGGCTCTTAGAACCCAAACTGACTTCTAGTTAGCAATCATATTTTGAGAATCTACTAATTACATAGCATCCAACAAAAGTCATCTTGAAACTTGCCCCGAAAGTAGTGACTTTGGCTTCTGGAAATTCTAAGATTTTTATTTTCTCCTTTTTAATACAGTTCTCAGGTAGCTGCTCAGAAGAGGTATGTATATAAAAATGCTTTAGAAAGTTAAAACTAAAGCAATGTAAATGACTAAGACTTTTAATACTTAATACTTTATATTTTATTAAATAGCTTCAGCTATGTGATCATGTGGTTAAATTTTTAAACTTCCTGGTTAAAAATGAATGGTGATGATGATATTTAAGCCATATGCAAATACGCTTTTTTTTGGTTTTGTTTTGGGCCACACCTGGCAATGCTCAGGGGTTACTTCTGGCGGTGCTTGGGGATCCATCTGGGATGCTGGGGATCAAACCGTGGTCGGCCCCATGCAAGGCAAATGCCCTAACCGCTGTGCTTTCTTTCTGGCCCCAAGTTTGGATGTTCTATCCTAGTGAATTTTATCCTAGCAGATAAAATTATCTTTTTGGCGAAGCATCCCAGTTTTATTCTTTATTTGGGGGGAGGGTGTTTGGGCCACATCTGGCTGTGCTCAGGGCTCATCCTGGGGATTGAACTGGGGTGCTGTGTGGAAGGCAAGTGCCTTGACTTCTGGACTGTCTTTCTAGGCACCATCGTCCCAAATGTTTCTTTACAAATCAGAGCGCCTGTGCTAGGGAGGTCGTGCCCAGGCTGTAATGATGCTTTGCATTCTGGAGCCTCAGTTTCACTCCTGGTACCACCCGAATCCCCCATGCAGCACTGGGTGTGGTTCTAGAGCACTGCACCGGGATGACCTTCTTCGCCCTCAAAAGGACATGAATGTCCAAAACGAGCGGTATCTCTACTTTCGTGCTAACTTATTACTGTCATTGTATTAGGGTCAGAGCAACTTTTCCTAAAACCAAAATAGATTGTATACTAGATTGTATACTGGTCTCTTGTGTTACTTCTCCATATAATATTCTCAGTGGCAGAGTAGTAAAATCCAGTCTTTTTTGTTGAATGTCTTTTATGATTAGAGGCAGGAACTAAACTGTAGCAGTTTCCTGAAAATCTGAGTTCATGGCAGTGATCTATGCAGAGTTGAAGCATTGATACAAGGCTCTTTAGCCGGCAGGACAGTGGCTCAGAGACGGCCGAGAGTGTGTCGTGAGAATAGAATCACGTGAGCATCCCACCTCAGCACATCTGGACTGGCAGTAGTTAAATCATTTCATGCTTCTAGGTTTGTTAATAGGATCCACAAGTCCCATGAAGCAGGATTTAGATTGTGAAGTACTCGAAATGAACACTAGCATCCAAAGCTAATTTATATAAGGTTATCGTCACAGTAATTCAGAAATCCAATGAAGACGAACCAGAATTCTAGTTTATTAATGTTTGCAAAAGACTTTTGTGTGGCGGGTGGTAGGGGGTGGCTGTGGTAGAAAAGAAAAGGAAGAAAATCCGTTGTATACATTTGGATCACAATCAGGTTTGCTAATTTAAGAGAAGACCCCAGTTGGAGAGTGAATGCAGGGGTGAAAGTGCTTGCCGTGTAGGCAGCCAACCTTGGTTTGATCCCTGGCACCCCATACAGTTCCCTGAGCATTGCCAGGGGTGATCTCTGAGCACAGAACCAAGAGTAAGTCCCAGGTATCACCAGGTATGGCCCCGAAACGAGAGAGAGAGAGAGAGAGAGAGAGAGAGGGAGAGAGAGAGGTATATAAGCTAATAAATAGGTCCTGTATGAGTGAATGTCATTATTCAGACCGTTTTTAGCCCTGTACAAAAGGGAGTCAAAGGGGAAAGCCTGGAAGGAAGGGACCTGCGGGTGCAGGGAGGGGAGAAGGGGCCACTGTGCCGGACACCAGCTCTCAGGGCCTGTCGCAGCGCCATCGCCCTCCCCTGTTGCTTTACCCGCCTTGCCAGTGAGTTCAGGCTTCTTAGTTTGAAAAATAACAAAGATTTTTATTGACATTTTAGAATAGGATAATTACACTAGCATGATTTGGCAACTTAAAATGTAATTATTAATCTATATACATGTCAGTTTGGATTTTAATTGCCTAATAAATAACGTAGGGGCCAGAGAGATAGTTGAAGGGTTAAGGCGACTTGTCTAGCATGTGGCCGACCCTGGCTCAATCCCTGGCATGACATAGGATACCAGAAGCACCAGAAGCACAGAACCAGGAGTAAACCCTGTGCACTGCAGGTTGTGGCCCCCAAACAAGCAAAATTAAATTATCCTTATGAAAGGAATTGCTCTTTAATGACAGATAATGGGAAAATAGATCTAAGGGACAGTATCATTTTACAAAACCTGACCAAATAGAGCATCTAATTACTGTTACATTCGCCCTAATTTTTATAAGCAGAGAGCCTCGAAAGACTGTAGAGATGAGATACTGTAGAGTTATTCTTTGAGGAGGTATCTCTTAACGTGGAAACGTGATGAAGACTGGGAATTAATGTGAATTTATTTCCTAATTGGAGTTTATACTACTGATAGTCAATGAACACAGATTTGTGCAGTGTGTTTGAGTAGGAAAGTTAAATTTGATGCCATAATAGGTCAATCTCCATATATTCACTGGTAAATATGTGCATTTTTTCATACCATAGTCCTTTGAAGGGTTTATGAGTACTGTTGATTAAGACAAAGTGTTTGACTTTGCAAAATTTTCCTGCGTCTCTTAATCCCACCTGTGTGTCTCACTGGCTCTCCCCTTGGCCCCTGAATGTCCTTGATTCTGGTTTTGAGCCCCAGCCGCCTTCCCTTCTCACCCTTCTCTACACTTTCTAGCCTGTCCTGCTCCAACAGTCTCTGGCATAAGGGATCTGTTCTCTCAGGTCTGAGTCGCTCTTGGAGTTTCTTGACCCGTGCTGGGGTGCCTGTGAAAACTTTGAGTTACTTTGAGTTTAGTGTGGCAACTCAACTCCTGCATCTTACTCAGCTTCAGTTGCTGTCCCGGCTCCAACCATCCTCTCCAGACGCCTTCGTGTGAGTGTCTGGTCTTGGACTTCTGTCACTCAACACGGCATGCCCAGGGTCACCCGCCTGGCTCCTTGTTCCCAGCCAGTGTCCCTTCGTCCCTTCACACATCCTCCCTGTTGATCGCCTTTGCCGCCACTCTGGGGCAGACGACTCTCATGGGAACCGCCGGAACCACCACCTGTGTTCTGTTCCTTTGTGTCTGTATCACTTGGCTTTTGCTGCAGAGTAAGTCACTTCAACACTTAGTATCTTAAAACAGCAGCCATTTTATTTAGCTCAAAATTCGGAGTTCGCTGGGCACTTCGTTCCGAGGTCGTTCAGTGGGGAGAGGACAGCCTTGCTCCCACTCTGGCTCCCGATGGCACGTGGCTCCTTGTTTCTGAGCAGCTGGTGGATTGTTTCATTCTCATGTACGTGGTTCCATGTACCGCATTGGCACACCCCAAACATGGGTGCTTTTCACGCCTTTCCTTGAGTCCTGTTGGGTGCTGTGAGAGCCAGCTGGAGGAACTGCAGTCACATTACCAAGGCTAGGAAGAGTTCGTAGCTTGGAAGGAAGGGACCTGCGGGTGGAGGGAGGGGAGAAGGGGCCACTGTGCAGGCAGCATGGCAAAAGGCTCTGCTGCTTCATCCCTGGCCCCAGTAGAGCCAGTTTCGTACTGTCACATTTTCTTCCTCTTTTTGAGGGGGAGGAGGGTGTGGGGGGTCACACCCAGCAGTGCTCGGGGGCTTGCCCCCTGATTACAGAGGCTGGGCTTAGGAGACCATATCAGGTGCCGGGATTGAACCCGGATCAGCTGTGTGCAAGGCAAGCACCCCACCTGCTGTGCTCTTGCTCCGGCCCACATTTTCTTCATCTTAGTCTAAAACTTGTTACTACTTTAATTGTGCAGTTTGACTAAAATAGTTTTCTCCCACTGCTGCCCTCTGTTGCCCTTGAATAAAGTCTAAGAACAAAAGCAAGTCTCTTCAGTTGTCTCTAGCTTCATCTCATCCCCACCCCTTTCTGTAGTAAAGCTGGTGGCTTCCCGCACTGATCTACAAGGGCCGGCCTCTGCCTCGGCGCTCAGGAGTCCTTGCTGGATTGCCGCCCTCTCCCTCCTTCCTTTCCTCAGGCCTCTCTGCCTCTTTCTTGTGGTATTTGTGTGTGTGGGATTTTTTATTTTTAAATTTTTTTACCTTGTTACAGTTGTCTTGCCTGTAACTCACTTCTCTTACCTTACTGAGACCGTTTTTAGGGCTGGACCCCGGACCTCATCTTCATAGCTGCCCATGCGCACTGCCTGGAGCCCTGCCGGGTGTGTGTGGCCAGCAAAGTTTTAGAGCGAAGTTTTTGAGTGACGGATATTTCTTACGACTATCCTTGTGTGACTGTTTGAATGTCAGTTAATTTTTTCAAAACTTTTCTTTCAGACCGGAAACTAGAGAGCAATATCCAAATAAATTTATCCAACGAGATGATACTGAAAGATTTTACATTCTGAATACACTGTTCAACCTACCAGGTAGACCCCGCCTATGTTTCCGTGGACTGCTGCTTCCCCTCGCTCCGCGATTCTTGTCATTGCTCAAGGGGGATGGTGACGTCCCTTTGCGTTTTCCTGCTGGGGCTTATGAGTACCTGTTCTTCATTTTTCAGAGACCTACCTGTTGGCCTGCCTAGTAGATTTTTTTACTAATTGTCCCAGGTATACCAGGTATGTAGAGTCTGTGATTTTCTCTTTTTATCAATTGATTTTTAAATGAATGTACAGGGTTTTAGAGAACTGGCCATTGTAGGTCTTTTCTGCTTTTCTGAAGTGAATTTAGTGCTAGTGAGAGATGCCACATTGCCAGCCTGAGAGATGGGACGGCACCAGCGGCTTCACGCAGGCCCTCACCTCCCCACGGCCCCTCCCTGCCGCTGCTGCAGCCGTGTTCGGAAGGGACCACTTCTGATTGGCTTCTCCTGGGGATGAAGACGGCCAGCAGAGGTGCTAATTGTGACAACTGAGTGGGAGGTTTGTGTGATGATTATCTGTCCAAGCAGAATTACACTAAAACCCCCCAACTCATTTCACAGCAGCTACCCAGGAGCCACTCAGGGACGGTGACCCAGTGTCACTCCCAGGCCCAGCGAGGCTTGGTGGAGGGACAGAGTCCTCTCTGTGAAGAGTAGATGCGCATTAGGTTCCATTACAGTAGATTACTATAGATCAAGCAGAAGTCATTCTCTGTGAAGAATACGTAGAGAGGATAGAGAACCCTCTCCGAGGTGACATTTTGCCCAAGTCTTGAGCCAGGGAATCCTCAGGTTTTCGGGGAGATTGTCTGCCATTGCTGAACGTCCGACCGTAGGCACTGGGTTGGCTCACTTGTCACCCTCCTTAGGCCTTTTCCACCATTCAAGGCTGGGTTTGGCGGAGCCAATCCCCGAGACCCTTAGCTAACTAGAAGACAGGCAAGCGGTACCCCAGAGAGGTCGAGTGGAGGAAACAGAAATGACCAATTTTAAGGGTTTTTTGGTTTTTGTCTTTGGGGTTTTTTTTTTTTTTTTGGATGCAAGCTTTTTTTTTTTTTTTTTTTTTTTTTTAAGTGATGAACACAAGAATCTGATCATTTTGGAACTGCCCTTTAAGCTGCCAGTCAGTCTGTTTTTCTCTAATTGGTCCTTGTGTACAGTTGTATGCAGTTGGACACTGGAGTCATCTCTGGTGGTCACATGGATTGGCAGTCGGAGTAACCAGTGTTGTTGATTAGCTGCAGCCTTTATCCATGTGGTAACGGTGGAAGTTCTGGGTGCCCTGGGGCAGTGCTTGATTCTCCCTTTTCTCTTGGGCTCCCTGTCACGCTGTTTTCATCTCTTTCTAGCTGTGAAACAGGATTCAAAGATGGGGACCTCTTCATGTCATACCGAAGCATGTTCCAGGACGTGAGAGACGCAGTTGACTGGGTGCATTACAAGGTAGCCGGGAGCTGCTGCTTCCCCTGCTCCGTCTCTGGCTTGCTTGGCTTTTTTTTAACGGCAGTTGCTCCCTGTGACGCTCAGCCCTAGCGGTGCTCCAGGGCAGCTGCTGTGTGCGGTCTGGAGTCCCAGCGCAGGACCTGACACCTGCCAGGCACGTGCTCCACCCTGCTGTAGCACCTCCCTGGCTCTGGCTGTTTTATGATAAGAAAAGAACTTTCTTTGGTGGGGGCCAGAGCACAGTACAGTGGGTAGGGTGTTTGCCTTGCACACAGCCATCCTGAGTTCAATCCCCGGCATCTCATATGGTCTCTCAAGCACCGCCAGGACAAATTCCTGAGTGCAGAGCCAAGAGTAACCCCTGAGCATAGTTTGGTGTGACCCAAAAAAGGAAAAAAAGAACTTTCTTTAGGGGGAGCTGAGTTGATTGGGCAAGGACGTACTGCCAGCTGTCTGCTCAGGGATCACTATTATTGGTGCCCAAAAGACATGTGGGATGCTGAGGGCCAAACCCAGGTTGGCCGTGCGCAAGGCAGAGGTGTCTTACCTGCTGTACTATCTCTGGCTCCCTGACATTAACTTTCTAAAGTACAAATGGAGCAGAATTTTTCCTCTCCTACAAAAAGGAAAAATGGATTTCCCCCCTAGAGGATGTTGATCTTGGCTTTGTTTTTCATCCTTTTAGAAGGAAATGTTCGTCTACCTCAGTGGCGGAGCTGGGCTCTAAGATCTGCTTTCAGTTTTCATTCCCCAAACTTAATTTAGAATGATTTTTCAGTATTAAGAATATACTTACCGGATCCTTTGAGGATGTTCATGGTCCACTTGTGGGAGGTTTGGACCACACTTGGTGGTGCTCAGGACGCAGTGCTGCCTCCGAGCGTGTGTGGCGCTGGGGATGAGTGCGCCCCGGGGAAGCGCCTTCTCCTCAGGCCATCTCTGGCTCTGACTTCTAGTTTCCAGTAGGAAGGATTTCATTTGTTGAATCTGTTTTGGAGACAGCAAGTGTTCCACTAAATCAGCTTGCTGCCTTGTGGAGACCTTCTTTAGCCTATTTACTTTTCCATTCTGGTAAATACTTAAAATGCGCTTGGGCTAATAGAGTAGACACCGTTTTTCTTAGAAATTTTTAAAAACTTATTTTGCTTTTTCCTGATTTTCTTATCCTCTAGGGCTCTCTTAAGGAAAAGACGGTTGAAAATCTTGAGAAGTATGTAGTCAAAGATGTAAGTATAAAAGAGGAACACAGATCTGTGTTTTTATCTAACAGGGAAATGAATAACAAGCCTATTTATAATAAAATGGGAAAAGGAGGATATTTCCATATCCTGGATCTTATGTACTAGGTCTGATCACCAAGAGTCTTTAGACAGGTCAGCGATTTGTTTGTCAGCAAACAAAAAAACAGCTTTTTCTGTTTGTTGTTAGGCCCAAAGACCTAGATTTCATTTGTCTTTTTAGCTCTAATTATCATAATAGTTGCAGTGGTTCCTCTGAACACATAAGCCAGGCTGAATGACTATGTCACACCCTATTTAATCAAGCATTTAATTCTGAGTCATACATTGTAAATTGTCAAAATTCATATAGTAGGAGTCACACCTAAACCTATTCCAAATAATAACCACCGTGCTGAATCGTCTAAAGATTATCTGTGATTAATTCAGGTGCCTTATCAGTAAAAAAATGTTAAAGTACCTTTAAAAGACACTAGTGGAAAACCTTATATTTTAGAAATCCTGTTAATATTATTGTTCTGATGTTGATTTTGGTATATTTTATATTTATATTGTACTAAGTTACACTGTACAAATTTTGTACTAATGTTGATTGTGATATCTTATACTAAGGTTGATACTAATAATTCTGTGTTTATCTAAGATGTTAATATTAAGAAAGCTGGATGAAGAACGTATAGGAACATGTCGACAATTTCACAGCTTTTTGCAAGTCAAATTATTTTAAAATAAAAAATAACACATATATATATACACATGCAGGCTTAAGCTACTTCTTTTCTTTCCTACCGAATAAAGGCAGATAAATGTAATATTTTCTCAAAAGTTTTTTGGTACAAGAGTCCTTATTGTGAGAATTTCTGCCGGATTCCTACCTGTATCCTTTTGAAAAAACAATGAGGGTCTCAGGAGAGCTCTAGGAGAATTTGAGTGAAGGAAATATATTTCCTGGGAGAAAGGGGAAAAGTATTTTTCTATTACATCAGGAGTTAGAATTTCCTCGTTTTTCTTCAGGTGGGTAGAGGCATCTCTAGGTTGCATCATGCGTGGGTCATTGTATCATGCACAGGACTTTGAATACTGCTGGGGCAGACAGGAAGGAAGGTTGGGAGAAGCTAAGGGACTTGTGCTCGTGCGCCATGGATACGATCTAGATTCATATTCGACCTGCACTTACTGACATCTTTTTTCTCTTTGTGCTTTTTTTGTGCCACACCCAGTGGTGCTCAGAGCTAGTCCCGCTTGGTGCTCACGGACCAGGCAGTACTGGGGATTGAACTCAGGGCTCCCGCATGCAAAGCTTGGGCGTCAGTCCTTTGAGCTATCTCCCTGGCCCCAGTAGTGTTATCTTTTATATTAAAAAGTCCGAAACCAAATAAGCATCACAACCCTCAGGGCTCCCTTGCATCTCTTTCAGTGGACATCAGTCCAGTATTCCGATCTGTGATCAGTGTCGGTGGAGCGATTATACTGTACCCTAAATCTCTCCAGTGACTCCACTGTACATGGCAAAGTATTTGTGCGGAAGTGTCTTACTCACCATAATGATTATGTTTCAGGGGAAACTACCTTTGCTTCTGAGCCGCATGAAGGAAGTCGGGAAGGTATTTCTTGCCACCAACAGTGATTATAAGTATACAGATGTAAGTGCCACTATTGATGTCTATTTATTTGTGTAGGGGAAATAGTTTGTCTTTTGAGGAGCTAATGAGAAAGGGAGTTATTTATTGAGGAGAGCAGTTTCATTTTGCCATTTAGAGTGAAAAGAAAAGCAGCAAATAATGGAGGATAAAGATGACACCAGAGTAGTCATAAAAGTTTCCTAAATAGATATATTTTAAATTCTCTGATCACAATTGGCGCAGTGGTGCAGGGACTTTGAGTCTCGGCCATGGAGACCAGCCGCCTTTGATCTCTAAATGTGGTGCCACAGTTGTAGCATAGACAGAAGCTGATTTCTTAACCTTACTTTAGTTAAAAGAGTTAACAGTACTTTGTTAAACGTGTTAACAAGTTTAGAGTACTAGCCAGAAGCCTGGCAATCCCTACTTTTCTTTTTTCTTTGCTTTTTGGGTGACACCTGGCAGCTCAGGGACTACTCCTCGCTCTGCACTCAGGAATTACTCCTTGCAGTGCTCGGGGAACCATATGGGATGCTGGGGATCAAACTCGGATTAGCCCCATGCATGGCAAATGCCCTCCCTGTTACACTACTGCTCCCCCCACTACTTTTTCCATATAAAAATCTCAATCTAGAAATATGTGATTTGGAATAAGTCAGTCATTTCGGGGGTATAGGAGGGACGATGGTATTTGGGACACCCCTGGCCATCCTCAAGGGGCTTTCCCTGTTCAGGGGTCACTCCTCATGAGCTCAGGGGCCAGTATGTGTTGCTGCGGATTTGAACCAGGGTGAGCCCCATGCAAGGCAAGCGCCTGAATTCCTGTTCTGTGTCTCTGCCCTCCAACGCCAGCCTTACAAAGCCTCGACTGACTTGGTCTGGACCCCACAGTAGAACCAGGGCACTCAGTTCTTCATGGGACTTGTTAGTTTCCTTGAGAGTTGAATAGGGACATATGGGTGAATCCAGTGCAAAAATATCTTTTAATTTGCTTTTGGGCCCACACCCATCAGTGCTCAGGGGCTTCTTCCATCTGTGCTCAGGAGTTACTCCTGGTGGTGCTCAGGGGCTGGGTTGGCTGATGTGAGGCACATCTTGTCCTGTACTTTCTCTCTCCCCCAGCTGTCTTCTCGAAGCCTCTCCTCTGAGGATGTCAGGAATGATTGTTAATTATGATGAAGCATTACCTTCTGGCATGATTTCATAAACTTTAGAAAAAATGAAGAGTGTGGTTTTGAAACTGACTTCTTACAAAAAAAACTTCTTTAGCTGTTACATGTCTTTTGCAAATATACGGACCTTACATTGTTGTTTTTTTTTCCCCTTCCAGAAAATTATGACTTACCTGTTTGATTTTCCACATGGCCCCAAGGTACTTAGTAAAACAATGTAACTTAATAAAACAATGCTTTAATAATGTTGAATATACTTAAATTATCCTGGAATATTGAGGGTAAGAAACTGGTCAGGAACCATATAGAAATCTTCCTTAAAATTAAAAGTAAAACATGAGTCAGTAGCAATCGGAATACTGAGTCCACTGACAGGAGGGTGATACTCATTTGGTATGTAGTAAGATGGGTCTAGAATAGTATTAGGACCAAGAAAGTCTAAGCAGAACTGTTAAATTAATGTCGCAAAGAAATTTTTGGGTTGAGGAAGATGTCTCACTAAAAGGAATAGAAAATGAGAAGATTCTTGACATTATCTATAGTCTGCTGTTACTATTGCTGAGTTTTGCTTTGAGAAGAGTCAGCATTTATTTTTCGAGGGTCTTCACGGCTGCAGTGTGGCTGCACCTAGCGTTAGTCTGCTGTGGAAATAGTTACATCCCTGGGAAGTTCAGTTCTGTATCTCGGAATGAACTCCGGAAACCCTGCTTGGAGATCACCCATAATCACCCATAATGCATCTGCTCTTCAGCATGACCTTAAACTATGAATGCCTAACTTGTATACCGACATCAAGAGGTGTGGGCCATTGTCTTACATAGAGCCGTTGTGCTGAGGACATACCCAGTCTGGTTTCCTCCAAGCAGTTTGTGTTAGTGTGCAGCCCTGCTTTGCTGGTCTCCCGAGTGTAGACTTGCATCTTTCCGTGGCTCGTTTCAGAGTGTGAGCTTTCATATTTCTGCGTCATACCTGGCAATGCTCGGGGTTTACACTGGTGTAATTCCTGATTTTGCACTCAGGAATTACTCCTGGCAGTGTTCGGGGTACCATATGGGATGCTGGGGATGGAGCCTGGGTTGGCTGTGTGCAGGGCAAACGCCCTCCCCGCTGTACTGTCTCTCCAGCCCTGAGCTTTCACATTTTAAATCACAGTGAGGCTAATAATGGATGGAAGCACATGATGTTAAACTAATAAATAGATGTTCAGTGTAGGGTATATTAGTTGTTGACTTATATTTTCACCAATAGATGTTAAATGTAGGGTTTATTTGTTATTGGCTTATTTGTGGCCTATTTATAAGGTAACGTGTTTTAAATAAAATGGTGAGATCTTTGGCTACACTTAGTAGTATTTCTATGTTCATTGCATCTGAATGAGATGAACTCTGAGTGATGTTTGCCTCTTGCCTGTTCTCCGTCAGCCCGGGAGCTCCCATCGGCCATGGCAGTCCTACTTTGACCTGATCCTGGTGGATGCACGGAAACCGCTCTTTTTCGGAGAGGGCACGGTGCTGCGGCAGGTGGACACTGTAAGTGAGCTGAACACTGTCTGCGGGACACTGTCCCAGGCTTCTCCCTTACCCGCTCCCACTCTCCTGAGGAAACAGGCATTTCTGACTTACTGGCCACATGTTTCCTTGGAAATGAATCCAAATACCGGTCTTGCTATCTGTACCCAGTTCAAAAGAATGACAGCTCCGAGTTGCTGTGCATTTGGCTGCCCAGTCAGCATTTTGGGTAGAGATTGTGAGAGAATGACACATACAAAGACCATCATTTTTTCCCCCAGAAAACTGGCAAGTTGAAAATTGGTACCTATACAGGCCCCTTACAGCACGGCATCGTCTACTCGGGAGGTGAGTCCTAGACTTCCTTTATTCTTTACGTGTTTGAACTTTTCATTTGTTCATTGATTTGGGGCTCAGGGCCTAGGAGCCGCTGTTCAGTGGCTCTCGTTGTGGGGCCTCTGGGACAGCACCTCGCAGTGCTCAGGAGACCATGTCGTGCCGGGACTCCAACTGGGCTGGTTGCACAACGGCCTCAACCCCTGTACTGTTTCTCCGCCCCAGGCTTCCCCGTATTTGGTATAAAAAAGGCTTTGTTGTTCTCCTGACACAGAGTGAGTGCATTGTTTTGTATATTTACTGAAGGCAAATATTTCAGTAGTTACTAATGCAGTAGGGAGAAATGGATTTGAGGTGGTGGGAGCTGGAGTGTTAATTCAGCGGTTAGGGCTCTTGCCTTGCACACAGCTGACCCAGGTTCGATTCCCGGTATCCCATATTATCACCTGGGCACTGCCAGGAATAATTTCTGAGTGCAGAGCCAGGAGTAACCCCTAAGCATCACTGGGTGTTGTCCAAAAACCAAAAAGGAGAGGTTACAGTATGTCCTGATTGTTTTGGCGCTATACCAGGCGGTGCTCAGGGGCCATGTGCTGTACTAAGAATTGACCCGGGGTTGGCTGTATGCAGCGGTTCCCTAACCCCTTTACCGTATCTCTGGACCCCAGTATATCCTAACGATTCATTGCTTGTGACTGAAATGATTGTTTTCGTTTTGCCTGCAGACAGGATCCAGGGAGGAGTTTGTGCCATTTTACATTTCTGTGTCACCTCCAAAAGCCCTGAGTCTGCCTTACGAGGGTGCAGGAAAGCACGCTTTATTTTTCACTTGAGGCTTTTCCTAAGAGACTTGGAATCACTTGGGGGTGGTTCTCAGGAGTCCCTGAAGGGGTTCTTGAGGTGCCCCCGTGGACACAGATGCATATTTTTTTGGAGTAGAGATAGCTGAACACAGCCAGCCTTATGGCATATCAGTGATGAGAAATGGTGGGGATACTTTGAGGGTTGTAGATGCTCAGGTTGAAGTGGTCACACAGTTTGATGATGGGGCACTTGGAACGTTGGCCTTTTCTGTAGAGGGATTTTGATTTTCATTGTACATGCCGTTGTTTCAGGTTCCTCTGATACCATCTGTGACCTGTTGGGAGCCAAGGGCAAGGACATTTTGTACATTGGAGACCACATTTTTGGGGACATTTTAAAATCAAAGAAACGGCAAGGCTGGCGAACTTTCCTGGTGATTCCTGAACTTGCACAGGAGCTGCATGTCTGGACTGACAAGAGCTGTAAGGAGACATTTTTCTGCATGAGTGTTGGCAGAGTTTGAGGACCTGTTCCTTTGTATGGAGGGATCAGGGGGGTGTTGATATCTGGGTGCACCTTCTCATATAGCTAGCTAGTTTACAGAAGTCGAGGCTTGGTGGAAATAATGACAGTCGTTCGCCTTCATGAATCTCTGTGAAGTTGAGTGTAGAGTGTCACTACCCAGGGTTCAGTGACAGAAGCAGCTAAACTGAAAACTGCTCCTTCCGCTGTGACTCCATTTTCTCCAGCCATGGCTGTAGAGTCTCTTACCTGAGCATGTAGCTCCCGTACGGATGCTGGGGCCTCAATGGCCTTAAGTCTTCATTACCTTCTGGTACTGTTTGCAAATTGGGGTTGGGGGGAACCACCAAGTGGTGTTCAGGGGGTCCAGGCACCATTCCTAGTTATATTTGGCTAATTGGGCCAGGAATTCTGCTAGGATCGGAAGAGGGGTGCCAGGGAGGGGACCCAGGCTGGGGCATGCTAGGCTCCCTGCCAACCCCTTTCTTTGAGAAGTAGAGAATGGAGCCAAATGGCATTCTCTGAACAGAGACACAGTGCTCCGAGTAAGGCGGGAGGCCTAGCTACTTAAAGATGCTTTAACGTGGACATTCTCTCGCCTGTCATAGCTTGCTCTGCCCTGTGTGATTCGTGCTGCCTTGGCCCATGACCCATGACTAGCAGCGTGCTCTCGGCAGGGTCCGGGATGTTTTCCGCCAGTGCTCAGGGCCCCGGGATGGAGCTGGGCTTGGCCGCTTGCACCTTAGCCCCTGTGCTGTCTCTCTGGCCACCCTTTCCCTTTGTTTTTCTGAAGTGTGAGATGTGAGGAACCCACCTCATCACGGGGTGGGTACAAACCCTTCTCAGCTCAGCCAGAGGAGATTATTTGAATGGTTGCTGGTTCTCCCAGAGGCAGTAAAGAAAGTTTTAGTTAGTGGATAGGACTTATTTGGGGGGGGGGGGGGGGGTGCCCAGCTAGAGAAAAGCTGGAACACGTAGAAAGCATGTGACCTGCTGCCATTATGTACACTCGACTGGGTTTAGACAGCTTGCTGATTTGGTTCTTATTTCTCAACCTCTGACACTCTGGATGAGTCACTCGATTCTCAGTTTATCTGAAAATGGAACAGGAGGATGGGGTGTGTGAATTCAGAAGCAGCTTGTAGGCAGGAGGAAAGAGAGGTCAGAGAGGAAAGGGCACGAACCTGCTGCCTGACTGTCTCCGTCCTCACCCCCAGCAGGGACAGACTGGGCACTTTCTGTTTAATCCTAACATCTTCCTTTTCTTCCAAACCCTGCACAGCGCTTTTTGAAGAACTTCAGAGCTTGGATATCTTCTTGGCTGAACTCTACAAGTAAGTTGCACTCCACACATTGCCTCGCTGCCTCTCCCCGGGAGCCCCGCAGCGGGACCGGGCAGTCACGCACTTCCCTTTGTCTCCAGGCACCTCGACAGCAGCAGCAACGAGCGCCCCGATATCAGCTCCATCCAGAGACGCATCAAGGTACTCCAGTGGGCTCGGAGACGGTGTCAGTGACTCACTTTCCTGGTTCTGTTCAGAGCCTCTCCCAAAGCAGGTGTGCGGACGGGGTTTGCTAACACGCTGAACTTCCTTCTTGTTTCAGAAAGTGACGCATGACATGGACATGTGCTACGGCATGATGGGAAGCCTGTTCCGCAGTGGCTCCCGGCAGACGCTCTTCGCCAGCCAGGTGATGCGCTATGCTGACCTGTACGCGGCGTCCTTCATCAACCTGCTCTACTACCCGTTCAGCTACCTCTTCCGGGCCGCGCACGTCCTGGTGAGTGCAGGCAGCTGTGGGCGGCGACGTCAGGTACTCTCGAGGCGCGATGCTCGGGGCCAGAGCGACAGGACAGTGGGCAGGGCGCTTGCCCTGCACACAGCCCACCTGAATGCCATCCCTGGCACCCATATGCCCGGATGGTCCCCTGAGTATTGCTGGGTCTAATCCGAAACCAAGCAAAAAAGGCTCAATGTGTAACATGTTTCGCGGGGTTGCACGAGTCTCTGAATCGCTTGTTTCTAGTGCACACGGTCCCCGCGTCAGGCTCACTGATCTGTTTCAAGACCTGGTGATAGGAGGGACCAGACAGCCCGCGTTCAGGGCGCGCTTAGGCCTCTGGGTTGGCTCTCCGTGACTCCTGACCTCTGACCCTGCCCTAGATGCCGCATGAGTCGACAGTGGAGCACACGCACGTGGACATCAACGAGATGGAGTCGCCGCTGGCCACCCGCAACCGCACGTCGGTGGATTTCAAGGACACCGACTACAAGAGGCACCAGTTGACACGGTCGATCAGTGAGATCAAACCTCCCAACCTCTTCCCTCTGGCCCCCCAGGAAATCACTCACTGCCACGATGAAGATGATGATGAAGAGGAGGAAGAGGAAGAAGAGTAAAAGCGGAAAACCATCACTGAGCACCCATTAAATAAGTTCTGGCAGGACTCGGGAGCAAAGGATGCCCCCTTCGGGTTCTAGCCGGGGTAGTGGGGCGCTCTGTCAAAAGTACACCTGGACATTCTCTGAGGGCTTTCACCTGTCCTCATCCCTAGGGAGATCCTTGTTTTAGTTCTGTTTCTGCACTCTGCAGACAGCTCCACTTTACATGGAGCCTGTGTCGGAAGAAAGCGGGAGCCGCACCGGCCTGTTACTCTCTTGTTTCCTCATCAGTATCTGACGGTGGCTCGGGACACGCTGTGGGCGACGGTGGCAGAGGGGACCCACGTGCTGTTACCTTAGAAACTTCCCTCCCACCACGCCCCGCACTGTCCTGTCTCATTGGAGAGGCATCGTTCTCCCATGAGTGGACACGGTCTTCATTTAAGGTCACAGTCCCTTCCTCACGTCTCTAAGTGGCCTCGTGACTGTTCACAGCGGCTTTGCAGAAGTGTCTCCTCCTCGCTTTGGGACTGATCTGGAATCGTCAGCAGCAGCTTCATTTGGAGACGTCTTCACTTCTACATTTCTCTTAGTAGCAAAAATGCTTGTTATACCAAAACCAAAAAAAGTCGGTCTTCTTAGCTGAACCTCTAGAAGGAATTTCACTGCAAGGACAGAGGAGCAACCCCCGCCCCCAGATGCAGCCCGGCCTCGGGCAACCGGGCAGCAGGCACGTCTGGCACGGGCTGGGCTTTCCTCTTCACCTCGTCCAGCCTCCTGAGGGCTGGTCACTGTTTCCAAACTTGAATATTCGAGAAAGAAAGCATCGTAAGCCAAAACTTGCCTAAAGTCGAGGGCACAATCAGTGTGAATAAATTCACTTCAGACTCCCGAGTGAAATCACTTCTTGTTTGAACAAGAATGTATCATTACTATATATACTTGCGGGTATATTATAATTGCCTCACAAGTTCCGTGAAAGTTGTTAAAACATTTTTAACGGTGGCGTAGACATTTAACATCATAGATTTCTTCTGTTCTTCATGTCATTCGTCAACATGAGAGGGTAGATTAGTTGCTCAATAAAGTATAACATTTCTAATACTGACTTTGACCTTGTTCTGTAGCACAACTATGGCTCGGGCGAGGGCTCTTTAAGGGGCTGGGGTGGGCTTGGGGTCACCTTCATGGCAGTCTCTTACAGGCAATGAACACTAGTGCTTATGTTTATAACATTCAGGAGGCCTGCAGGGTTTTGGGGAGACAGCCCTGAGGTGAGACTTCCATTGTAGGGCCTGGGCAGATGGCTCAGAGGGCTGGGGTGCACGTGGAACCAAGGGGTCCCTCAAACACTGCTGACTTAGCCCAGGGCACATTGTCTTACCACTTTCAACCTAGATGACTTCATGTCCCTGAGTTGTGACGAGAAGGCAAGTTTTAAAGTACCAGGTGCGGCACTTGCCTTGCACAAGACTGGCCCGGTTTCCATCCCTGAGCGGTGCCGGATGTGGCCCCCAAAACAAAAGCACAAGGTTAGAAATGCTAGTCAAAATAGCAATTCGATACTTTTCCCGTTTTAAACTTGCAAAAGTGTTCCTGGTTCCTCCCACAATAAACATTCCCAGTGGAGACGTTCCGTTTCACTGGTTCCGGATTTTCTGAGTGATAAAGGGTAACTGTGCATCATCTGAAGCTCATCATAAAGCTCAGCAATTCTGGGGTAGGGCGTTTGCCTTGCATACGACCGACTTGGGTTCAATTCCCGGCATCCCATATGGTCCCCCTAGCACCACCGGGGGTAATTCCTGAGTGCAGAGCCAGAAGTAGCCCCTGAGCATCACCAGGTGTGACCCAAAAAGGAAAGAAAAAAAAAAAAAAACAGCTCCGCAGTTCACACAGTTCCCCTGGGAGAGCACTGGGCACTGGAGTCACACCTTAACTGTGCCACGCCTTTTGGAACAGCCACATAAAGTCTTAGCTAACAAGTTTCCTTCTTTAGCCAGCTCTCAGTAGGGTCAGATATAAAGAAGTGTACATAGAAGTTATGTAGATATGCGGAAGGAGTTCCTACACTCAAGAGTAGGAACGCGTCCCACTGCCACTCACCGTGCTCTTAAGACCACGAGCACCCCCTCCCCCCCAAGAGCCATCAGTACCAACACCCAGGGCAGAACGTCACTCCTCTGCAGTATCAGCCCTGCCTGTTTGGGACCTGGCATGCCCGGGACGTAGCCATACCTGGAGGGCTGGAGAGACGGTGCGGCGGGAAGGGCGGCCTTACCTGCAGCCGACCCAGGTTCCAACCTCAGCACCCCACATGGTCCCCAGAGCCCCGCCAAGGGTGGCCCTAAACCTAAACTAAATAAATACAAAATGAGCTTTCCTCTATTGCCAGTAGTTAAGGAAATAAAAAATGTGCCGTTCTTCAAAAACCGCCACATGGGCCAGAGAGCGAGTACAGGGATTAAAGGCACAGGCCCCCCGGGGGGCCAGTCCCCGTTTCGTCAGCATCTTGTGGGCTCCAGAACATCTCCAGGTGCAAGTGCCATCACACTCACACAGAACCACTAGATCAGGGGCTGAAACTCCTCCTGCCCCCCACCCCCAGATCCAAGGCATATTAAACTGTGAATAGACTTTGCTTTTCAGAATTTTTTCTCGGGTATTTGAGAAATCCTGGTAAAGTGTTAATGACATCTCCTCAGGTTCTGACGGACCCTCAGTGTCCCTGCCAGAGGCCCTCCATGCCTGTCCACTGAGGGGCAGCAGGAACCACCAATGCTCGGTTGCTCTGTCTCAGAGAACCTCAGAGTGTGTTTGTCCAGATCACAGATTTTTCTTCTGCCATGACTAGAGCAGGGTGCAGGCTCTGGGCACCTCTCTCCATGGCGCTGTGAGAAGTGGTTTCACTGAAACTGGTCTCAGAGCTACGATCCTCAAGTCATCTTAGTGAAACTGCATTAAAAAGCTGTGTCAGGTACAGATCAGATTTAAAAGTACTTTATCCAGGACAGAGACAAGCCAGCGGGCAGGGTCCTTGACCATGTGGCCGACCCCAGTTTGATCCCCAGCCCCAATATGGCCCCCCCAAGCACTGCCAGGAGTGGTCCCTGAGAGCAGGGCCATGTTCAGTAAGCTCTGAACACGGACCAGGTGTGCATCTCCTCACACACCCCCTCTCCCCAAGTAATAAGAGCACTTTAGCCAATGTTTAGATGTTTCTAAATCCGACTTCAAGAAATATTTGTCAACAACATTTAAAGCCCTGGCTTTTGTTTTTTTCCCAAGGCGTTTAAAAATACTCTGTTTCTTCACCACAAATAGCCCGAGACAAGCAACTGCATAGTTAGCCTGCATTAAGGGTGGGAGTCTTGTCCACATTCCATGTTACGGAAACTATTTCGTCTTTGACGGTGGGAAAATATGGTAACTATGATGCAGCCAGAGTCAGGGGTCCTCGACTTAGTTGTTTGTCTCCATTGCTCTCCACATCCTATGGCTTTAAAGTTTTTCCTCAAATGGAACACTGACCCTCGTCAAACTGGGAGTCCCTGCAAGTGTCCTCTCTGGAACTGCCTCAGAGGTGCAGGGGAATCATTGGACAGGCCACATCCAGCCCTGCCCCATCCCGCCCTCCACTGCCTCCTCTAGGAAGGCATTGAGCACAGCCCAGCCTCTTGTTCCCAGTGTGACTTACAAGCAGGGAGCAAGGCATCTAGAGAGAAAAACGCACTTGTTGGCAGAATGAACCCGGCAGCTTCTCTAGCCTGGCCAGGGAAACATTGTCAGTAGCTTCCTCCCCAGGGCACAACCATCAGACCTGCTCCAACAAAGCTGTGTGATTTCAGGAATAAGAGACACAGTGGAAAGGCCCACGAGACCTTTAGCACGAAATGTACTCCCCAAACGCATCACTGAACACACCACATTTCATCTTGGGCTGCCGACTGTTCCAGTCCAGTTCTTTTCAGGAAAAAAAAAGATACCGAGATACTTTTGCTGGATTTTTGAAACATTTCTTTTGGGGGCTGGAGTGACAGCACAGTGGGTAGGGCGTTTGCCTTGCACGCGGCTGACCCAGGTTCGATTCCCAGCATCCCATATGGTCCCCTGAGCACCACCAGGAGTAATTCCTGAGTGCAGAGCCAGGAGTAACCCCTGTGCATTGCTGGCTTACTCCAAAAAGCAAAAAACAAAACAAAACAAAAAAACCCGCACGTTTCTTTTTTCAGGAGATTGGTCCAAGTGCGTGTCCTCACACGCATTTTTCTCTCCGCGTGAGCTCTGAAGAGAGGCTGAGATAATTCTTAAGACCCACTCTTGGCTGGAGCCAAGTGGCTGGGCACATCCCTCCGTCAGACAGGGCACCTTGCAGCCTTACAAGCGCCTGAGCTACTTGGAAAGCGCGTCTGCCAAGCCGACCTTTATGATACTGATTAGAAGTCTATTAGATGCCCCCACTCTATGGGAAAGGTCTGCCACCAGAGGCGACCTTTGACCTGGGAGTGAATAAGGAACTTCATTTGTAGCCCGTGGCCTTTCAAGCGGATGAGGCAGCAGATCTGGGAAGGAAGCTGGCGCACCCGCCCAGCCGCTAATACCCTGGGCAGGAAAAGGACTTTGACAAAGCCCCTGGCATCGGCTCCCGCCTCGCACCCTCGGGCTGTCCAATCACCCCGCAGAGGAGATGGCGCACCACCAGAACAGCACACAGAGGGGCCCTCTGGCCTGCCTTTGTCTGCAACTTTTTGAAAGTAGGAGCACGGACAGATGTAGGCCCTGGGAAGAAGGAAAAACAAAAAAACAAAAAAACAAAAAAATGAAGCGACAAAGCAAAAGCAAGCAGAGCTTAATAGCCGCCATCTAATGGAAATCCAACTTTTCAGCTCTAACGATGACCGGTTCTTAATTAAGGTGAATTACCTTCAAGTGCCGTAAGTTTGCAGAAATCAGCTCTAGCCTAGGAAAAAGGCACTCGCTGGGACTCCCCTTCACAGGAGCGTGAACAGGCCGGGGTCCCCGGAGGGCTGAGGCAGGAGAGGCTGCAACTAAGAGACAAGGGCACGTGGCCACCCGGGGCTGCAGAGGGATGCTCAGGAAAGCTCGACGGGACAGGAGGAAGAACTGCCGTGATTCTCCTTTGAGATGGTCCCGACTGGAGCTCGGGGCTCATCTAGGCCATGTGAGCCAAAGCAGGAGAAAGGGCAGCGTGGGCAGCCACGAGTGGACGTGCCCGGAGCGTCCCCCCATTCGGCCCTGCCGCAGGAGGGCAGGTCAGCTCCTGAGGATGGGGACCAGCCTCGTTCCACTTGCAGGCGAGGGGGAGGAACGGCTGCACAGGTGGGAGCGATAGATTAGGTCTGGCCAGGTCTCAAGACCAGTTTTGCCAGGAGTCCTCATCGGAGCAGGTCCACAAAGACCACGAACGTGGCCGTTTGTGGGAAAGGAAGGAACCTGCCATCTAGAGGCTCGGATCTCAGAGCACAACCCGTTTTTTCTGTAATGGGATGGAGAGGACGTGGCGTGGAAAAGGATCCCAAGGAATGAATGAGCCCTGAATCGGAGCCGGGGCTGGGTTGCTTCAAGTGAAGAAGGGGCAAGAGGGATTCGAAAACTTGGGCAGCCGTGGAGGAGGGTGAGCGGAAGGATGTTCTGTGTCGGCCTGGATTCTGGAAAACATCTGAATGTGCTTTCTCCACTCCTGCCACGGTGGCAGCTGGAATGCCCGCCCCAACACCTCTCTCGGCCCCGCCCGGCGAGGGAACACCTGCAAAGCTGTGCTCGTCCCCGGGAGCCTGCCCAAGGCTTGAAAGAGGCTCTTGTCTAGAAGGAACCGCCTACACGTCTCCCCGGCCAGGCTGTTGTGAGTGGCCGAGATGATGCGGGCGAGCCCAGGAGGACCCCGCTACTGGCCGTAGAACTGTCTTCACAAAGGGGATCAGTTCCCCGCCCCTCCCCCACCCCACCCTCACTGCCCGGGGCACAGGGTGTAAATTGGAGGCTGAGCACTAACACCCCCTAACACAAGACTCCGTGGCATCTGTGCCAAGACCAGAAACGTGCCCTGCTGTGTGGCATGCCAGCAACCAAGCCCAGCTTCCCACCCCTGAAGCCCGGCCACGGGCCGGGAACCGGCGGGCGCTGCAGAAATGAAGAGGGGAAGGAGGGAACACACACCTGCTAGAAGAGTGAACGGAAATCATTTATCTAAATAGAAGGCAACAAAAACCTTTTAAAACAATCACAAAATTTACAAATAAATTGGTACAAAATAAATAGGAAAGATTGTAAATCTACATCATTTGAATTATAAAATGCATTCATTATGACAATCAGCTCAGGAAACCTATACACGGCGTTTGTGCTTGTCCGGGTTTATGTACACCGAATGCTGCGTCCGGAGAACACTGCTGGGACCACGGCCTGTACACTATGATACAGCGAGGAGAGGCTGGGGACAGAAACCTGCACACAAACAGGGCCTTCCGGGGGCCAGGCAGAGCTGGCCTGGGCCTCAAAAACAAGGAAAAGCGTTAGAAGGAGGAGCCCAGAGGCCTGGAAGCCCCCCTCTGAGTGGCTCCTCCCATCCCCGGTGGGGAGGAGTGGCGGGCAGGGAGGGGGGACTCGGCCCCACGAAGTCCCCAGGACCCCCCTCAGGTACTTCACGGAGGCACCCAGAGGACTGCCACGAGGCCGGGGAGTCGCCTCCACCTTCGTCCCAAACTCAGGTCGTCACTGCCGGTGTGCCCACCCTCGGCTCCCCTGGAGGAAGGCCCCAAACGGCTCTCAGTCACATGGTACTAACGGAGACGTATGTACATAATAAATAATACAAAACAAAGCATATACACTGACGGTGCCCAGGGCTCTGGGAGCAGACTGGCACCCCTTCTGCAAGGCCACCCTCAGACGCACCCTCAGGCTCTGGGCCCTCTTCCCCACCCTGCTGCCCGGTCTCTGCACCCCGGGGACGTGGGTGTGAGTTCTCTCCAGGGAGAACCTGAAACTCTCCCCTCTCCCTCCCGCTGCCACTTCCCAAGTGAACCCACACTGGTACTGTGTGCAGGCAGCTGCCAGGAGGACAGAGTGGCACAAGACAACCGTCCCCCGTCTTTTCAGTTTGTTCCTACTAGTCTCCCATGGCTGTTCCTACTCTGGACATCTCCTCAAGTCTACCTGTAATATGGGGTCTGCGCGCGCGCACACACACACACACACACACACACACACACAGACACCCTAGATCATGTCTCTGTTGCTCCAAGTATACACACACACACACACCCATGTCTCTTTTGCTCCACGTATACACACACACACACACCCTGTGTCTCTCTTGCTCCAAGTACACACACACATACACACCCCTTGTCTCTGTTGCTCCACGTACACACACACACACACACACACACACACACACACACACACACCCCTTGTCTCTGTTGCTCCACGTACACACACACACACACACACACACACACACACTCACACACACACCCCTTGTCTCTGTTGCTCCAAGTGCAGGCTGGTACTTCCATGCAGACACAGCTCCAGCGTGCAGAGATAAAGCTGGTCAGCTAAGCCAATGACAAAGGTATGTGCTGCAAAGACGTCCCAAGCCTGCAGTGGGGGAGCGAAGCAGCCTGAGTGTGACAGTGGCCGTGACCTACCCCCAGGATGGCCTAGAGACACTGGAAAGCTCAGCAGGGATGGAACCAAGTGCTAGGAAAGAAAGGCCCCGTCGGCCTGGGGGGACAGCGTACCAGCAAGCGGGGGGCCCTGAGTGCCCCTCGCCCTCACATGCAGCAAATGTCCCTCCCAGAACTCTCCGGACTCAGCTCTCTGATCAGCCCGCTTGAACGAAACAGAAATGGAAAGACGGTGAGTTACAGTTGGCCCTGAGGTTTAATTCCAGAGTAGGCAGCTCACTGACAAAACTCACCCGGGAACTTCCGGGGTCCTCAAGTCTTGTGCACATTCGGTCAACTTCCTCTCAACTCTGGAGGCTAACCTCCAGCTCACCTCGACACTTCGCTGGCCAGAAATGCCTCTCACTAGCCCAGGGCCCAGGATGCCAGCACCAGCGCCTATGTGATCTGGGGGTGTGATGTAACCCCAGAACATGGCTGGCACCAGCCGTGTGGTCCAGGTGTGGTCTATCAGGGGCACAGCCCTGGCCTCCTGGGATGTCCCTAAGGATCCCTCAGACCTTGTGATGTCACCAGGAGCCACTAGAGTCCCGTCCCCCTACCCTTTTACCCCCTCCCCCGCCAACTGGAGGAGGAGGCTGAAGCAAGAGATCTGAATTTCCATAGCCTCCCTTCCTGGGGAAAATGGGATTCTTGTCTCCACCACTGATTCCCAGACTTGGAAACGCTGCCCCTGGGACAGCAGAGTTTAATACACCCCTGGATGTGTGCCGGCCGCAGCACTGCTCACACGACAGCTCCTTGAATAACCCTGGAAGGGGGTTCGACACCCTGTCAGCCCCCTCGTCTGGGGAAGCCAGCCGCGTGCGTGGCGAAGGAAGAACAGTGTTCAGTGGGGTACCGCTCTGGCAGTCAGAAGAATCAAGGTGAAGCGAGTCGATTAGCACCCAATGACCCACGTGCACCGCAAGGTTCTGGTTTCCTGGGAGTTTAAGTGCTTGCTATTATAGCCTGACGGAATGAAGGGAGAGACTCGGCGCTCTGAGAGGGAGTGACAGGAAGGGCCTGTCCATCAAAGACAAGGCGGACAATTTGGGGACATCTGGAACTGGTGGGAGCTCAGGGATGCCAGCCCAGACAGAGCAGGGTCTGGCGACAGCAGGGGCCAGTGTGAGGGACGGTGAGGCCCCTGCCCCCTTAGACGGCCATCATGCTTACAGCGGGGGGGTGGGGGTGCTAGCAGAGGTGGGGTGCGGCGCAGAAGGCTATGCTCGGCTCGCAGACCTTTCTTTCTGGACAGATGCCCGTCTGCTCCACAGACAGGCATGTGTAGGCCTTGGAAGCAACAAACAAGCCCACGCTTTGGTGGCGGCCTCGGGTGGGCTCAAGCGGGGCCCGAGGGGAAGCATGAGCACTCAAGGACTCCCAGGGCTCCCCCACGCAGAACTCCAGCCAACTCCCAGCAGCCCAGGTGGATCCTCTGCTACTACAAAGCGTGGCGAAGGAAAGAATGAGCAGACGCCGGGGAGGCTGAGCTGGGTCCCTCGGGGCCGGCTCATGGGCCCACTAGAGCTCTCAGAGGGGGTCTCTGAGGGGTGCTTACACACGCCTTGCAGCAGTGGCTGACCAGCCGAGCAGCCTGAAGGTGGGGGCAGCCGGCCAGGCCGGGAAGGTCAGATGTGTCGGGGCAAGAATGTGGGCGGCCTCGGGGGGCATCCTGCCCGGCGAGCCCTCACTGCTGCACTCCTGCCAGCAAGCCCCATCCCCGTCTCCACCAAGCGCTCTGCCAGTGCCTCTGAACAGACAGACGCCCCTCAGCTGATCCCTTCCTAAAGCAGAGCACTGAGGGCGCATGGGACTCAAGCCCTCACAAAGGAGCACGGCCCTGCCTGAAGACCCTCGAGGACAGGGGCCCGCAGGAAGCAGTGGACAAGGCCCCAGTGGACGAGGCCAGCAGCCGTGGTTCCCCACTAGCCACACTGCGGGGCAGGGTCCTCCCTCGCTGGGTGGGGGCGGGGGGAAGCGGGGTACCCTTTGAGCGGGGAGATCTCATCTTCTCCTGGCACCAGGGGTTGGGCATCCGCTCAGGCCGTGGCGCTGGCCTTGCTGGTGCCCGATGCGAACTGGCAGCAGGATCAGACAAGACACACGGGGCAGGTGCCTGGTCCTGCAGCAGTTTCTGATCCCTGTTGGGGCCCCATGGACCCCCTGCACGGACAGCAGCCTTGCCGAAGACCCCCTGCTGTCTGACGAGCACAGAGCCCGGCAGACAGAGGTGGTAGGCTGGCCTGGGGGCTACCCTGAGGAGGATCTCTGGTCTCTGTCTCGCAGCTCTGTAGCAGTACCTACAATGGGATCAATGAGGAGCAGAAAGTCGGGGACCTGCGATGGGAGCGGTAGGTGAGGTTACCTGGCCTCTTGCCAATGACGAACCATGGGTTTAAAATTCATTAACATTCATTTGGGTGATAAAAATTCCTTAGAGTGGGAACAAAATCACATTTCCAAGCATAGAAACCTTTCCGAGGGGTGGGACACACTCAAACATTCGCATCTGGAAACGGGGGCCGGAGCGGTGCAGGGGGCGAGTGGCTCGGCGGGCCACACTAACACTGTTCACGATCATCCTTCAAGACCCGCAGCGCCCCCCAGCGCCCCCCTCCAGGCAGGGGGCCCCTCCCCAGGGTGCGGGGAACCCAGGAGGGCCGGAGTCCATCCTCGAAAGTGATGGGGTCACATCATGGGGGGGTCACAGCAGAGTTCTGACAGAACCACTCAGAACTCCACCACAGACGCTTTAAAAAAACAGAACAAAACAAAAAACAAAACAAAAAACAAAACCAAAAAACATGATCTCTTTGGGGTGGGGGAGGAAAAAAAAATAAATCGTTAACAATTTCCAACTTCATGCAAATTGAAGGAAGAGAGTGAATAATGATCAAAGGTAGAGCTGAAAAAATAAAACATGATTCTATTTGGGCGGAAGAAGTTCCTCGGGGCTCGTGGGAGGCCGTGCCCGGCCTGGCCGATCCCCCGCGCCATCCTGGGCCGCTCCGGGGAGGGGACAGTCTTTGGTGTCAGGAGGGTGCGGGGCGCAGCACGGCCGCTAGATGGCGCCCTCGCCGTGCAGGCTGTGGTTGGCCTTGCCCAGAGGCACGCAGTTCTGTTCGGTGAGCAGGTTGGCCGTCTCGTCCGGCAACCCGTCGTGCAGGTCCGTAAGAGTCAATTCAATTTTCGCGTTTTCACTGTCCGAGGACTGCGGGGTTTTGTCCATCCGGGAGGCCATCAGGGCGTTTTGGTATTGCTGCCTGGAGATCTGGGGCACCAAGAGCGCGCATGGGAGACAAAGCAGGGCAGACGCTTACTCTCGGGGGGCCGGGGGAGGGGGTGTCTCCCCCATTGCCCCCAACACAACCCTGGGGACGGACTGGGGCATGTTTGCCCAGAGGCAGCATTCTCCTGCTTCCCTCGGAACTCCCGAGGCCAGGACAGGGCAGACGAGCTCAGCCCAGCCCAGCCCAGCCACGGAGTCATGGGGCCACGGAGGTGGGTTCCCCAAACACTGTCCCCGCTGCAACCCCTGGGAAAGAACACCCAGTCCTGCCCCCCCCCCCCAAAAAAAAACAACCCCTGGGATCTGTGGCTCGCAGTGACAGCCTGTGCCCGGGGCTGGCATCGGGCTGGGGCTCGGGTGCAGGTGTGTGGCCACGGGGCCCCGAAGAGCACCACCCCCCTGCCGGCCGCTTACCTTGACGAACTGGAGGTCGGACAGGGCGCGCACCGAGTAGTCGGGGATGTAGACCTGCAGGAAGGAGTTGAGCTGGTTGTTGCTGCTCCCCAGGGTCGGCGTGACGGCGTCGATCCGGTCACTTCTGCTCAGTGAGTCCGAGTGATTCAGACCGCAGGGGCGCGGGGGGGACTTGTTTTCACCTGGCCAGGGAGGAAGCGCCCTCTGAGTGAGGCCCAGGGTGCATCGACTCCAGCACCGAGACCCCCATCCCCCATTCCCAGGAACACCGGGGTGGGGGTGGGGGGCAGAGAGCAATCCTGGGCTAGGACACGCACAGACCAGGGGCCGGCGGGGTCCCACGAAACCTGGGCCCCGGGAAGGCAGTTGCACAACTGTGCCCGAGAATGTTCCTGCACTAGAACATGTTTCCAAGGCAGCAAAACGGTTTTCACGCCAGGAGCCCCTGCCCAGCCCTTCCTCCTGGTCTCCGGGGCCCCCTGGCACAGGACAGTCACCAAAGCCTTGCGGGGTGTGGGAGGCTCTGATGAGACTGGCCGATGGGCAGGTGCTGGGGCCTTGGACAGATAAGAACGACCGCCCCCCCCCCCCAAGGCCAGAGTCTCCAACGGGGCAGCGGTGCTGACAGGGTGGCCCCCATTGGACAGGTCCTGAGTCCTGCCCCAGGCCTGGAGGGGACCGGCTCTCCCAGCCTGTGACTGGCACACATGTGTCCCTGGCGGATGCCCCCCGCCTCACCCCAACCCCAGATGTATCTCCAACACGGCTCCCCTCGCCGTCTCCCGCCGGGGCTCCCTGCCACGGCCCTGCCGAGCTTTCCTGGTGCGGTGGCCTCCCGCAGCCTCTTCCCAGGCTGAGCGCGGCTGGTGTCCCCACCCCACATGTCCCCCATCTCGCTCCGTCCCAGCTGCAGCCCCGACATGCTCCAGCAAACGCCCACCGGGGACAGGCCGCCCAGAACAACATCCTGTCTCCCGGGGTTTCTCAAACCGTGACTCAGGGCAGCCTGTTCGCCCTGTTGCTTCCACCCACCGTCCCGAGAGCACCAGGCACACACCAGGAACCTGCCAGGGGCTCCCACCCTCGCTGCTGGGAAGCCAGACCCCTGGCAGGGGCCGCCTGTGCGCAGCCCTCTGAACCTCTCTCCTTCCCGCCTGCTGTTCCCAGAAGACCTGTGACTGGGTGATGTGCGCGGAGCTGCCGGGTCCTAGTGTTAAGACACCAACCGCCAGGGGTCTGAAGAGGGACCGAGAGGCGCTGGGCTGGGCAGGGCATGCTGGGTGCCTGGTGCCGGAGCACTGACTGTGGGCTCACTCGGACTCCGCCATCCCGGTGCCTACCCCAGCTCCAGCTCCAGCCAGCCCTACTACTCACCGGCACCCCACGGCCTAAACAAATGCCCTTTGAACCCCAGATCCCCTAGCAGTCTCCACCCCGCTACTCTCCGGGGGACCCCTCTGGGCCGGTGCTGGCACTAGGCCAGCCTCCTGCCCACGCAGGGCCACCTCCCGGCAGGACCCTCACTCATCGGCCCCCAGGAACTGGGGGTGCCTTGGGACTCCGCTGTTTCCTCCCGCTCTGGCTCATTTCTCTGGTTGTCTGGGGGCTCCAGTCTCCCCGGCGATGTCCTCCCACCCTACAGCTGCCCAGGGTGTGGCGCGGGGGCCAGTGCCGTGGGCACCCACCCGGAGCACGTGGCCGGCTCCCAGGTCTCCTCGGGGACCAGAGGTCTCAGGCAAGAGTGATGAAAAACGCTTTCCGCCTGAAGTCCTCTTCTCGGAATTGTTTTCTATGTTCTGGGGATCACACCCAGCAGTGCTTGACCATATGGGGTGCTGGGGATCGACCCGGGTTGGCCACGTGCCAGGCAAGCGCCCTACCCGCCGCGCTCTCTCTCCCCGGCCCCGTTTCTGATATTCTCTCCTGCCTCGTTTCACTCCCTCCTGCCCCAGACTCGTCCTTCCCTCCAGAGAGATGCAGCAAGTGGAACATTCCGGCCTCTTCCGAGGAGCAGCCCGCCAGGCACCTCTGGAACAGGCTGGAATTCGCTGGTTTAGGGCAACCCTGGGCTCGGGTGAGACCAGCCTGCCCGAGGCCGGGGCCCACAGCCGGGGCCTTCCTGGGAGCCAATCACCCTGGCTGGGCAGAGCCAAGGACGCTCACAGCAACAGCGAAACGCAAATGGCCTTCCCATGGGCCGCGACCAGGTCCCTCTCCTTGGCTAGAGAGGGCAGCGAGGGTGGAGCGGGCCAGATGGACCCCACCAACGTGCTCAGTGTGCGTGTGCGTCTGACCCGCCAGAATGGACTCAGCCCGCCCCGCAGAGCCGCTCCTGCCCCTGGGAGCAAACCTGCTGGGAACAAAGGTGTGAGGGGACATTCCCTCCTCTCCAAAGACAGGGCCCGGGCCAGCCCCCCAAATCCCAGCTCTTTAGAACTTAGCTGGAACTGGATTCCAAAACAAGAAGAATCGGTAAGGTTTTTAGAATGTAAGCTTGCAGAGAACAAAATAAATAGCAGTTGTACTACCAAACAGAAAATCCCGGCGATTTTAATTAAAGGGAGATTAAGCCATGGCCTTGGGTCCCACAGCCCGGCTGACCAGGGCTGCGCAGGGCTCACGTGCCTTCCCAGAGGGGCAGGGCCCCCTGTGGGAGAGGGGGTTTGGGGGGAGGAGGGCTCCACACGCATGCCTCTCCCTCACGGGGACTTTAGAAAAAAGACCTTGGCAGTCAGGCTGCGGCGGGCTCCGAGCGCGGCCTTCCCCAGTGCAGCTGGGGGGTCATGGTCTGCCGGGGCCCCACGTGCTCTCAGATGCACCGGTGGCAGCTCTGAGGCCTGTGGGCTATCTGTGACCTCCAGAGATAACCCGCATTTGGGCAGACCCTGTGGGCTGCAGCTCGGTCATCCCAAGACCCAAGAGTCCCCACTGGGGGCTCCCAGGAGCTCCCACAGGCTCAGACCATCCGACGGGGCTCGGCTCTGAGATGACAGGTCGGTTGGGAGGGAGGACAGGGGGCAGAGCGTGACCAGCAGCCCCTGGGGGGCGAGGACGAGAAGGAAGCATGCAGTTACCTGGAGAGCCCGCCGCTAACAGCTCTGTTCTGCTGACGGCAAAGGTGCGAGACAGGGACAGGGGAACTGGAAAAGGGAGAGAACAGGGTGAGACGCACAGCAGGCCGCAGAGCAGGGACAGGGCGGGGCCAGCGGCGGGGCTGACCAGCGTCCCACTGCTTGGGGAGGATGGACAAGAGGCGGTGGTCACACGCTCCCGCACCAAAGGAGCAGGCCCCGGGCCACTGGTCTCCCTCCGGCCCGGTGCAGAGCTTGAACCTTACATGAAGACTTGGCTCCTCGGAATTCACAATGGGGATCCCAGCCAGCCACGGCCCCCCAGAGCCCGGGCCCGGCTGCATGTCCCGGTGAGGCAGCTATGCAGGAGGCCTAGAGGACTGGCCACGGAGGCAGAGAGAAACATGGCCAACATCACGGCCCCAATTTCATCTCTCAGTGAACGTCCGGAATCCCCAGCGCGGGGCCCAGGAGTCCGGGAAGACCCTTCCTGCCCAGCATCTCCAGAGGAGGGAGGCCTGGCGCTTCCGTCACCCAAGGAACGTGAGCGAGTCCGGCACGTGTCCGGCTTTCTCCTTATAACGATATCCCCAGATCCCCAGACACGGTGTGGTGTAGCAGATGGAAACCCACAACATCTGGCCATGTCCCCTGCCGGCCAGGACGGATCATCAGAGAGGGCCGTGTGCCCAGGGTTTGAGGAAGAGCGTGTCGATTGGCATGCCGGCCACAAGGTGGCAGTCCAGCACCTCTGCTGACGCGCCTGCCCTCTGCCAGCCGGGAGCAGGGAGACACAGCCACAGCCACGCAGCAGCAAGACGGAAGGAGCGTCCTGGTGGGGACAGCCCAGCGACACGCCAGCACAGCAGCACCAGCCCACGGTGGCCGGCACCCTAGCACCTCATGCTCTGAGAAATCGGCCTAACGCCCCCACCCCGCCCCGGCACACCCACCCGCCCGGCCAGCACTCCGGCTAAGAGCCGGTGGCAATGAACAGCTGCCGCCTCCTTCCCCCTCCGGAAAAGGCACGCAGACGCCCCCACACCCCCCGAGTTCACATCGACAAGGTCAGCCACTGCAGTGGCACCGTCGCACGGTGCCGGGCGGGCGTGGGAACTGCTGCAGCTACGTGGGCCGCTGGGCAGTAAGGAGCGGCCAACGCTGACCAGGGACCTGCAACTGCACCAAGGAGCTGACCCAGCAGAAACGCGCACACGAGCTCACTGGGGAGACGAGGACGTGAATGCACGTCTGTCCGTCCATCCGTTCGTCAGTCCGTCTGTCTGTCCGTTAGCAGAAAAACAAAGTGTGCTGCTGTCCGGTCACAGGGGCATGGCCGATGGGGCTGCCAGGCGCAGCTTGGGCGCAGACTCCCCAGGAAGGTTTAAGGTCTGGGGGACAGGAGCTATGGGAGTCTGCTGCGGGGGGGGGTTGTGGCAGGGGGGTCCTGCAGGTTGCAGGGCTCTTATCCCTGGAGCGGGGCGTGTGGCTCTGTGACCACTCAGGGTGGGCTACGCTGGGGGGGCGACGCACGGATCCGACAATCCAGAGGCTCCCAGGCAGAGGAGGAGGGTGGGCCGGCGGGCGGGGCGGGGGCTCACCTGGGGAGGCGGTGAGGGCCATGACGCCGTAGTAGGAGAACGCGCTGGCTTCGAACTTCATGCCTTCCTTCCCGGCCTCCACCTCCACCTTGCCCTGCCGGAGGAAAGGGTGGGGGGCGGTCATGTCAGCCCGACACTGGGCTCTGGCCACCATCGCCACGAGGGCCACTCCTCCCTCCGCCACGTGTCTCCGTGTCTCCCCCCAAACCCCAGGGCAGCCTCAGAGCGTCGTTCCCTCCCGGAGAGGGGCGGCTGGTCAGCGAAAACGGGAGACGACAAAGTGTGGTGTTACCCTGTCCCTGACACCCTCCCTTCCCAGATCCTTCGGGGGTCTGGCCCGTAAGGCAAAGACGGCGGCGTTCCTGGTCCAGCTGTGGATAAACGCTAGGAGGTGCTTGGTGGCAGCCCCCAAGGCCGCTGCAGGCCCGTGGGGCTTGGCACCAAGAGGACTAAGCTGGTCCCCGGGCAGCAACCCAGCGTGCTGAGAGCGAGACACCCCAGGGCCCCTCCTGCCCTGACTCCCCAAGGCCCCTCCCTGAGGCCAGGCTCTCTCCACCTCAGGCTGGCCCATCCAGCCCTCTCCACCTCGCCACAGCCCCTGCCATACCCTCACCCATCCGTCCGCCTCCTGGGAGGGCCTCAACAGCCACTTTCTGGGCTCCTGAGAGCTCCCCCCACCCAACTGCCCTTCCAGCTTGCCCGGGCGCAGAGAAGCTCCTGTCCAGCCCCTCTCAGTGCCCTCTGCAGGGAACACAGTCCGGGAAGGCAGGTCAAGAAACAAAGATTATAGCCCCCAGCAATTGCCGGTGCTTTGTCGACTCGCTTGGTACTCCTGGTTCTCTGAAAGGCAGAGTCAGCACCATCGTGGCCTCCGCCCCTCCCCATAACGGCTCTCAGAAGATGATGTAATCACAGAACAAGCTTTCATCCAGTAAGCGACACAACCCACTCACTCTGGGCGGTTGAGGCCTTGCTCATCCCTAACCAGCTCCGGGGCTCCGAGAAGAGCCAGACCCTGTGGCCTGAATTGAACACGGTGGCCCCACGGGCGCACAGGTGCCGAGGCTTCGAGCAGCCGCCCAGCGGGGAGGAGATCGGGAGGGCCAGGGGCAGTACCAGGCAGCAGGTGTGCCTCCCGGAGCCAGGAAAGGTGACTCTGACGCCTGGGGTGGGGTGGGGGGGCCTGGAAACAACCCTATGGAAAATGGATGGGAAGCGGGGTCCAACCGCTCGAAGGACGCAGGGGGGTGGGCAGGATGAATAGACTGGGGCCGCACGGAGACAGCGGGTTCTTAGCAGAGGGAGACGAAGCTGGATCCAGGGTAGCCACCCTCGGATGGGAAAACGCTTTCCCGGTCAGACCGAGAGTCACGGACAGGTAAGGCGAGGGCCAACCCTTCGCAAGTCTGGTCTGCGTGGCATGAATGGGGACACGAGGACTGAGAGTGGGGGAGAGGTGGCACTCATGGGGGGGGGCGTGAAGAGGGTCTGAGGGTCCTTCCGTCCGCTTGAAGACCAGGCCCTGTGAGCGTCCACGAGAGGGGAGGGAGGACACGGCGGGTGCTGAGGCACAGAGGGGACTGAAGGAGGGGAAAGGGGCAGCTGCGGAACCGACTCAGGGCTGAGGATGAGGTGGGCAGGACGCCTGCACGGGGAGAACCCAGGGCACAAGGGACAAGACAGGACAGGCAGGGACAGCACCCAGGGAAGAGTGACCGGCCAAGAAGCCCAGGAGCTGCAGACTAAGAGGGGAAGCAGGACAAGAGGGGTTGGGCAAGGCTGCTGCGGGCAGGAAACGGGGGTGCGCCAGACCAGGGCAGAAAGGGCAGAGCCAGAGCAGACCAGAGACAACAGCAGAGGCAAAGGCTGGCAGCAAAGATGGGGCAGCCTGAGCACAATGCTGGGGGCGCCCACAGGCATCCGGCTTGCTTCTGGGGGGCTGAGCCATTTCCTGGCCGGCTAACGCTGAGCTGTGCTGCAGACAGGCAGGCAGACGGACAGATGGACTGGCCTGTATCTAGTTCTGCAACCCACCAAAGGCTTCAGTGGGTTGGTGAAGGCCCCGGCTGCCAGGAACTGGGGGTGCCCTGGAAGAACTATCCCCTGTCTCTGGAACCTCCCTATGCCCCGGCTTATCAGGACACCCCCAAGTCCCAGCATTGCTGGTTCACAGAAACATGAACCCCAGACAGGCCATTTCAGCAGGTTCCGTGCGGGCCCTCAGCTCGGGCTCAGAGACCAGGCCGAGCAGAGACCTCGAGGTCAGCCGGTCCGGATCTGCCGGTCCAGGGGCAAAGACAGACCAGCTCGGCAGCTGCTCCCTGTGCCACTCAAGACCTGGTAAGACGCACCTCTGACCTCGGGGCAGAGAAGGCTACCAGCCTTTCATTTCCTACAGAACGGTATCTACAGATACACACGCATACACCAGGGATCCAACAGGGTCGGTCTCGTGCTTGTGAAGCACGTGTCCCACCATGAGGCTAGACCCCTGGCTCAGAAAGGTAAATATTTTTTAATTGCTTTGTTTTTTGGGTCACACATGGTAGTAGTGCTCAGAGGTCACTACCAGCGGGCTTGGGGCACCCTGTGGGGTGCCAGGGATCGAAGAGTCAGGTGTGTGCAAGGTAAGTGCTATGCCTGCTATGTTATCTCTCTGACCCTCGTGGACATTTTTTTTAAACCATAGCCATCGACTGTGACCATCACTTCATAGAAAATAAGGCACCTTAACCCACAAAATAGTATATAGAATTCCAGAATAACAGGTCTTTGGACCTTAATCCTCAAACTAGAATATAGAATTCCAGGGGCCGGCCTTACAGTACAGTGGGTATCGCATTTGCCTTGCATGTGGCCAACCCAGGTTTGATCCCCGGCATCTCATACGGTCCCCAGCATCGCCAGGAGTAATTCCTGAGTGCAGAGCCAGGGTAACCCCGGGGCACTGAGGGGTGTGATCCCTCCCAATAAAATGAAAGAATAGAGAATTCCAGAATAGCAGGTCTTTGGGAGGGCTTCCCTCTGCCTGATCCCATGGGCCGCCTGGTTCATTGTCTGGCGAGTCAGAAGCTGCTCAAGCCCAGAGGCGAGGGCCACCCCGGAGGTGCTGGGGGACCCACCTTAGGGCTTCCACCTGCCCTGCATATGTTCCAGCCCTCTGAGCTCTTTCTCCGCTTCCCAGAATAAAACAGGTCTTAAAACTGAACACTTGTGGCTTTATGGAGACCTCACTACTTAATTTGCTTAATTTTTCTCCTTTTGCCTCCGACTGGTGAAAACTTGTCAACTACCTGCCTTTAGGAACCACTGGATGGGACTAATTGACTTCGTTTTTATAAAACTGCCCACAGATGAATGGATTCCGGAGGGTCTTTCAGTTCTGGGAACTGAGAGAATGTTCAAGGGTTAGACTTTTAAGTTGTAAACTACCCAGCTGGAAATTCCTCTTTGCCTGGAGGAGGCTTATCTGGCAGGCAAGTTTTAGACAAATCCAGTCAACGCATCTGTTACTCAACTGTCTGCGTCCAGGGCTCCAAAATGGGGCCATTTTCAGTAAACCTCTGGAGCTGGGAGTGGACCCAGTTGGGAACAGCTTCGCCCTGCACAAAGCCCAGTAAGAGTGACTAAGAACGACCTTTGCCCCAGAAGGACAGGGCTGCGCTGCCAGCTTTCATTCTGCAGTGGGGTCTCAGACCTGGGCCTGCTGTGCAAGACGTGGGCTCCACCCCTGAGCCCCAGCCCAGCCCAGCCGGCCTGTGAAGCATTTCCTCTGCTGCAGCCCATGCCCAGAAACTCGGCAGGGGCAGTTCACCAAAGGAGTCACTTTGGGGGTGTGTTTTGTTTTGGGACACACACCTGGCGGTGCTCAGGAGCCATTCTTGGCTCTGTGCTCAGAAGCTGGTGCTCGGGGACTGTAGGTGGGGCCCGGGATGGAAATGAGGGTACGGCTACTGCAGCCACATGCAACGCAGGCGGCGCCTTCCCTCCCGCTGTCTTTCTTTGGCTTGGGGAGTCGGTTTTACACTGATGAGTGGAGGCCTCGCAGGTGCAGGCAAAGCTAGTTTCCCACAGATCCTGCCTTTCTGGAAGGTGGGTTCAGAGAGCAGTTTGTGGGCACCTAGGAAGAGCCCAAAGGTCTCTGGCTGCCCCACCTGTGCCAGCTGGCACTGAGAGAGGAAAAGCCCCATCTCTGGGGGCCTGGAGACACCCACAGGCCACATGCACAGAGACCTCAGGGGCATGTCCCACAGTGGGCGGCCCCCACCCCCCAGCCGGGGGTGCCATGTGCCAGGGGCACCCTGACCCCGGTGTGGCCGGGTCCCACACGGCAATGGCCACAAGGGATCCCTGAGAGTCCGGATGAATTCTCATCTCTGGACCCCCTTTTCTTTTTCTCAGTTTTTGTTTTGTTTTGGGCCACTCGGCTGCGCTCAGGGTTTTCTCCTGGCTCTGCACTCAGGGATCACGCCTGGCGGTGCTCAGGGGACGTTATGAGATGCCGGGGATCAAACGCAGGTCAGCCACGTGCAAGGCAAGTGCCCTCCCTGCCGCACTCTCTCTCTGAGCCCCTTGAGCCCCTTTTCTACCTGAGTACTACGACCAAGCGACCAAGCATCCAGCGCGAAGCCTGCCTTCCAGGTCACCACCACCTGCCAGGAAGCCCCGCCCGCTGTGTCCTGGGCCCTGGGGAGGCTGGTGTTAGCCCCAGCTCTCGCCTCCCTGAGGCACAGCCTTCAGGCGACACGGCCTCAGGTGAGATCTCTGCAGGAAGACACAGTGAGCCCCAGAGGGTTCTGCATGTGAATAACTCAGTCACACGGAGGGAGGCCAAGTAGCAGGGAGCCAGGCTGGGCAAATGCATGGAGTCGCTCAAACCGAGAAGAGGCTGGAGGGTCCCGGCCAGGCCGTGCCCCCAGCCATGGTGGGGGCCGCTTCCACCACCCAGGCGGCGTGGCCAGCACACCGGCACGCACCAACCATGCATCAGTTCTGGTTTCCAGTTGTGGGTAAGACTTCTAAGTGAAGGGAGCTGATGCCTCGTTTCGTTTTTACACGTATTTAAGCATAATAAGAAATCTGGGGTCGGGTCTGGGCAGATGGCTCAAAGGGCTGGGCCGGCATACTTTGTATGTGAGAACCTGGGGCTCAGTCCCTGGCATCTGGTCCCCACGCATCTTCAGAGGCTGAGAGCACAGTGGGTAGGCAAGTTCCTTGCAATCCCCGACACCCCAGATGAGCACTATCAGGAATGATCCCTGAGCCTTGAACACCACTGGGTGCAGGCCCCAAACAAATAATTACCAAAGTTTTAAAAAGCGCCCTAAAGTCCCTTTAAAAAAAATCATAAAGAGAGTGAGAGAGTGAAAGGACAGCAGGTAGGGTGTCACCCTGCATGCAGTTAGGGTTCAATCCCCAGCAGCACATATGGTCCCCCATGCCCACCAAGAGTGACCCCTGAGGGCAGAGCCAGGAGTAAAGTACCACTAGGTGTGGTCCTGAGTACCACTGAGTACCAGTAGGTTGTGGTCCCCCAAATAAATCTGTGATCAGAGATTTAGATAAATAAATAATAAATCAATAAATTTAAATAAATAAATCACCGGGACCAGAGACAGTGCAGAGGGCTGAATGCATGCTTGCTTGCGGGAGGCCTAGCTTCTATCCCTAACACCGCACGGTCCTCTCAAGTGCTGCAAGCCGTGACCCCAACTGCCTCCACATCTATCTCAAAATCAGAGATGACCAATGAACAAAGAAAGTCCTCTAAAACCAACCCCATTCTTAAATGCAGAATGCGACTCTCCCATGCATGCATCTAAAAGATACAGTTTCATAAAGCGCTCTGTGCCCTGCTGTGTGTAGCAAGCTGGTGGTGCTCAAGGATCACTCCTGGTAGGGCCCAAGAGACCATATTTGTGCTGGTTCAGCTGTGTGCAAGGCAAGCACCTTTCCCGCGGGAGTATCACTCAGCAGGTTCTCTCCTGGCTTCAGGGCTGGGCAGGGTTGCCGTTGTGTTTCCTTCCACTTTCTCATGCTAGAGGGTCTGGTTCTGTCCCTGCTATCACACGGTTCCCGGTACACTGCCAGCAGTGACCCATGAGCACTGCCATGTGTGGCCCAAAAACCAAAAATGAAAGGGAAAAAAAAATAAAAGACGAGAAACATTTACATCATCTTTTGTGCAAAGATGAATGTTTTTACTCCCTTATGATAGTAAATAAAAATAGTCCCTTCCAAGAGTCAAGCTTATCTGTATCCGGAGGGAAAAATACAGTGTGTGATTGAGATTCAGGCTACCGGAAGAATCAGGTGCTAGAAAACTTGCAAATGGAAGACAGACTGTGTGAAAGTAGCATTTAATGGGTCACTCCCGAATGACTCCACAGTTCCTCGCGGCTGTTCCAGACCCTACCCCGACACCAACACTGAGTCACACAGGAACACGGGGCTTCCCACAGTTCCTGACAGCTGGTGACCAGAGAATAGGGCTTTGGGTCACACCCAGCAATGCTCAGTGATGACTCCTGACTCTGCACACAGGAATTACTCCTTGAGGTGCCCAGGAGAACCTATGCAATGCTGGGGAACGAACCCAGGTGGGCTATGTATAAGGCTGTACATAGTACCCCCTGTACTAACTTTTCAGCCCCAGAACAGAGTTGTTTTAAAAGGAACTCCCCTCATGCACCAGGGGATGAGTAACTGGCTGCACTCACATTCCTTTAGGACACTCCACTAACCATGCTCCTCCCAGGATCTCCTCAACCCATGACTGGAAAGGGACCAGGAAACAGAAGAACCTAATGGGCTCGTGCTCTAGTTCAGAGGAGAACACAGAATCCCTCGACAGGGAATTCTTCAGTAGAGATGCCAAAGAAGACAATGAACATTCTTATTCACCAAAATGTTCATCCCCAGTGCTTACTGAGTGAGCTGGTGATCTGACAAAGGCCCGTCAAACAGAGGGGTAGGGGGGTCGGACTGGGTGGCTCCACCCCCGCCCCCCCTCCAACAGAACTGAAGGAGAAGGGATTAAGTCCCTGCTGATTTATGGGGCTGTGATGACATCAGTTCCTCTGTGAAGGAGAGTTTGGTAAAGAAGCAGGAACAGAAACAATAATGGGGTGGGGGTGGAGGGGAAGCAGCTCAAGGGCCTGGGGTGATGCTTTGCACAGGGAAGCCCTGAGTTTCATCCACAGCACCACAGAGCCCACAAACTAGGTTCAAACATTCAAGTGACTGGCATGCACAGCTGGGCTGCGTACCAAGTGGTCCCTGGGCCTCCTCCTCCACCAAAAGCACTACTTGGGAGGCTCCCTGTAAAGGAACGATGAATAGATATTGTGATGAAGAGAAAATATGTTATTGTCTAGGGAGTATATACGACCAAGTCCTACGGAGAGCTAGGAAGAAGACAGCAATAAAAAAAAAAAAGGCCAGGTAGTCAAAGCCTTCTACCACCAGCACACCGAAAACATTATTCTCAATGGGGAAAAACTGAAAGCCTTTCCTCTAAGGCCAGGCACAAGACAAGGTTGCCCACTCTTGCCACTTCTCTTCAATGTAGTACTGGAAGTACTCGCCATAGCAATTAGGCAAGAAAAAGGTATCAAGAGCATCCAGATAGGAAAGGAAGAAGTCAAACTCACCATATACAGATGACAAGATACCATATTTGAAAATTCCTGAGGACTCTAAAAGAGAACTGAGGGGGCACAAAGCGACAGTCTAGTGGTTGGGCATTTGCCTTACACACAACTGACCCAGATTCAGTCCCTGGCATCTAATATAGTCCCCAAGCCCTTCCAGGAGTGATCTCTGAGTTCAGAGATAGGAGTAAGCCCTGAGCACAGTCAGGTGTGACCCAACACTCCCTCCCCCAAAAATAACCCAAAGAGAAGCCTGACAGATAGCACAGGGCTTAGGGTGACTTGTACGCAGTCAACCTCAGTTCAATTCCTGGCACCACATATGCTCCCTGGAATACTGCCAAGAATGACCCCTGAACATAGAGCCAGGAGTCACTCTGATTATCACTAGGTGTGGCCAAAACCCTTTTCCTAAATAAATAAATGATAAAGTATCCAAGGAAATCCTCACAGGTGTCAAACGCCCAGCCAAGATTTGGAGATGCACAGGGAATGTCTCAAACTCTACAATAATACTATGAAATAAATTCTCCGTCCCTATGTGATTCACTGACTCAGCGATCACCAAGAGCCCTTCAGTGCTTGCAAATAAAGGAACTCATGGCATGGCTTGACATTAGAATTCCTGGACAGTTATGGCAAGGAGGGAGGGGACTTCCCCCAGAGGCACAGCTCTTCCAGTTGGTCAGTCGGGACCCCCCCCGGGCCACACAGGCATCCTCAGAACTGGAGGGTGGGCAACCAGCACCGTCAATCCCCACTACCAAACCCCTCTGACCTGCAGAATGAGCACGAAGTAGTCTACAGGCTTGTTGCGCTGGTAGAGGTAGTATTCGGGGGCCTTCTTGTTCTTCTCGTCGTACTTCAGTTCCTGGATGACATTGGGGTGCTTTAGCAGCCTTAGAAGAATCTTCTCTGACATCTGGGATGGGCTAAATGCTTCTACTTCTATAGATATAAACACAACTTGATATTACATTTCAAATGAATGGAAAACACAAGGCTAGTGATCAAGGCACTCGGACAGTCAGAATACAGGGAAGCAAAAGGGACACGCTACAGACTGACCAGACCCGGGGAGACAGAGTACCTGAGAGAAATGAGAAAATACTGAATTCTCACTTTTTTTTTTCAGGCTTTCTTATTTATTTGGAGTGGGCGAGAGGGTGGGGGTGAAGGACACAACCCCAGCAGTACTCAGGGCATACTCCTCGTTCTGCACTCAGGGATAATTCCTGGCAATTTTCGGGGACCATATGAGGTGCCAGAGATGGACCGTGGGTCAGCCTGTGCAAGACCAGTGTCCTGCTTGCTGTACTATCACCCTAGCCCCTAAGTAAATCTCCTTATTTTTTACTTTGGGGGCCACACCTGGCTCTGTGCTCAGGGCAGGGCTTGGTGGACCAATATGAGATGCCGGAGATCGGACCTGGGTAGGCCACGTGCAAGTATCGCTCTGGCACCGAGACTTTCCTTTTCAATCAGTCACTAGTGTCGGTTTACTTTTCTGATGAACAGAAATGAAAACCAACCAGCAATGGATTCCCTGATGACCAGGACTCCTGTTAACAGGCCTCACCACTGGCTTGGCAAGGACAGTGCAGGAGGGAGCGTGGCTGGGAAGTACAGGGGTTAGCATGGAGCAAATGGGGTCCCCTTTCCTCACCCGCCAACAACCTGAGACCCACTGGAGGGAAAGGACACCTGGAACTGGGACGAAAAGCAGAGCGCGTGCACACACCAGCATGCACGCCAGCTGGCTAGTTAAAAAAAAAAAAGGCATGTTAATCCGTATTTCTAAGGAGACCCATTTTATTGTAAACAAAAAGACCCAAATGACCATCTTTCAGTTGTTATTCTGCAACTGGAGTTGAGTATCTCAGAGGTAAGTAGGGTAACAGTTTTAAATCGTAGCTCTTCAGTGAGGAAAAACACCACCAGCAGAATTAGAACAGGAATAACAAGTGATTCTGAAACTTGTTCTTAGGTTTTTAAGATGTGAAAAAATGTGACATATAAAAAATTCATTGTATACTGGCTTCCTTGATTAAAAAAAAATAATAGCATGGAGGAATTCTGGAAAAGACAGAGAAAGAGAAAGGGAATAAAAATGACCTCATAACCAGCCACTTGTCATCACTGTGAACAATTCGGGCATGATTTCTTTCTGCACCTGTCTAGGCAATCACACACATGCACACGCATGCACGCACATGCGTGCGCGCACACACACTCACATGCCCACGCACGCATACCCGCTCTGTTCTATGTATATGTCTCTCTTTCTGTCACTCTTTGTCTCTGTCTGTCTCTCACACACGCACTCATACTCTCTCTTTCTCTGTAGGTGTCTCTCTCTAGGTCTCTGTCTCCCTGTCTCTGTCTATCTCTGTCTCTGCCGCTCTCTCTTGGTACCCAGTTTCATATTCTGAGTTTTTCCTCATTTTGTAACAAATCCAAGCACATTCCTCATGTCACAGCTATTGCCCTGGAGGCGTTTCCATGTATCTGCCGACAAGGTCTTGAAAAGTCAGTCACCTCCCATCCTCCTCGCTTTCTTTGCCGTGTGGTGCAAGGACACGTGGCTGCCTTCGCAAGTCACTGGGTGCCTCCCGCACTTCTCCGCCGGCCTAACTGGGCCTGACCGCAGAGCTCACCCTCTCCCTGCTGCCTCCTTGGGGGACGCCAGAAGGGTTAGTCTGTCTCCTACATCTGAACCGAGATCTCTCTGGAGTGGCCAGTCTTAATAATGTGGACACTTTGAAATGGACCTGAATGAACAATCTGATTTGGAGAGGCCGCCATGAAATCCACGTCAAAGTTCCCAAAACTTCTGATTCCACAAAACCACAAAAAATTAGAAAAAAAAAACCACACACACACAGGATTTGTAAAAATTTGATTTTTCTTCTTTGCAATTCAGAGCACCTGGGTACTTGCACTCGTGTCCAACTGTGCTTCCAAAACAACCGGAGCAAGAGACGCAGTGATTCCAGCGCCTCTGCTGGCCCGAACACTGGAGGCGTGTCTGGGGGCCACAGAAGATACAGGAGACACAGGTGCCTGGTGGGCTGGAAGCAGATGGCCTGGCCTATGTCACATGCAGTGTGGCACTAACATTCATCCTTACCTTTCAGACCAATTTAAAGTTACTGGTCCACCCCTGGCAAATGTCTCAGAGGGTTCATGCCGACACTGAACACGGGAGAGGAGAGAATTTAAAAAAGAAAGGAAAACAAAAGAAAACAAAAAAAAACAAAACACAAAGTGGCATTACTCATCACCCCATTTCCCCGTGTCCACCCGCAGCCCACCCCAGCAGTGGAGGTGGAGGAGGTCGTGAGCGGAGAGAGCCAACGCTGACAAAAGCCACACTTGCCTGTCGCCAGGAAACGGTGCATGGCCAGGAGGAGCTGGGGCGATATTTTAACCTTCATCTCGCTGTCTGTCTGCTTAAAGGCAGAAAAGTCCTGCTTCCTCTCACGGTGGGCCACTTTCTTTTTCGTTCTGTTATCAGCTGTGGGAGGCAGGAGAAAGGGAATGAGTGAAGGCAACGCATCCCCTCAGATCGGGGCTGTTGTGGAATGAGACTGACAGGTTCTCCTGGGGAAAGGCAACGCTGTCACCAGACCGTGCACTTGGTCCCACACACACCACGGACAGTGCTGGGGGGCGCAGAGAGAGCAGCCCGGGAAGCAACGTCTCCCAGCGCAGTGGGGACAGTCCATCTGCCACGTGAGGCACAGGTGCACAGGGACATGGAAAACACAAGTGCCACTGGAGATACAGGAGACACAGGGGTCTTGGACCCCACCTCATGGAGGAACCAAAGCCCCAGCACAGAGAGAAAACCAACCCACCAGCAACCAACCAAAGCTCCCCAAGGAGAACCTGCCCGCAGAGCAATGCACTGTCATGGTCACGGCTGACGGTTTCCTCTCCCCCTCTCCCGTGAACGCCACCGATCCTCAAGGTTGAATCAACCTGAGGAAACATGGTCTGAAAATGACCTTAGGGAAGGGCTGGATGATAAAACCTGGTCTTGGCTATGACCACTCAGCTGTCTGTGGGCCAGAGCACGCCTCTGGGAAAGGATGGGCCGGGAACGTTTTATTAAAGAAAAAAAAAATTTTTTAATTGAGGCACCGTGACTTACGAAGTTATTCATGATCGAGTTTCAGGCATCCAACAAGCCGACCCCCATCCCTTCACCAGTGCCCCAGTTTCCTTCCCGCTCCCAGCCTACCTCTACAGCAGGTGTTTCCCCCCTTTCTGGGTTCATAATCCTGTGACTGACAGGGTTTCCTGCAGAATCCAGATGCTCCCCAGTACCTCGTCCTGCTCTGGGGGTCCCTTCCCTCCGTCATCTCCTCCTGTCTGATTTCACCCCTGCGACCCTTGGCCCCATGTAAACTTCCTCCTGAGACCAGTCCTCAGGCGCGCAGCTCCTGTTCCCTCTGGGGATCTACCATTCCCCTACCAGGTTTCTTTACATTCAGGTTGGATGTGACATTTGAATTCAATGTAATTTTCCGTGTCAACAATCAGTCTTGATTATTTTCAACAACGTGAACCTATTTTAAAATCCAAATCCAAATCCCCCTCTCTGAGCGCGTGGTGCTGCGGGTATAGAGGCCCAGCTTCCCGGGACCACAGTCCGGCCGAACCCTGGTCTGGGAAGCGTCTGCTGCCGTTTTCAGTCTTCCTCAGGACAAAGGATCAAGAAGAAGAAACGGGGCTGAGCCGCCCGGGTGCGCGAGAGACCTCTGCGGGCGGCAGGGAAGCTGACCTTTGTTTGGCCGGGAGGCAGCCCGGCACTGAGTTTTCTTCTGTCTCGATGTCTTTTGAAAATCAACAGTACAGATCAAAACCCACAGCGACAATAACAATAACAACAAAAAGTATACACCAATAGCAAACTTGTGCCCAAGCTCCTCTCTAGATCAGCAATAGAGGGGCCGGAGCGATAGTGTGGCGGGAAGGACATTTGGCTGGAGATAATATAAGATTAGGGAACTTGCTGTATATGTAGTCACACACCAGTTCAATCCCTGCTGCCCCTGCACCACTGGGGTCAGCCCTGGAGGTGCCTGAGCACCAAGGAGTGGCCTGAGTAACCCCCCTGCACCACAGGGCTCAGCCACAACTGTGAGCCCCTGCACTGGCCACCGGCCCGCTGGACAAGAACTGTAGAGAAGGGGCCCAGGTCTCCTAAGCATCACCTGGGAGACACCCCCCTCAAAAAACCTGCAACTACAGTTCAGCGCTTCACGTGAGTCATGTCTGGCACACATCTGTAGGAGGTCGGCCCACAGGAAGGGTCACCTTAAGTACAAAGTAAAATCGTCCAAAACTCTAAATTCTGGGCAAACACAGAATTCCACAGAGACGCATGGTATGGAACAGTCACTAGGAGGAAGGGTGAGAAGAACTGAAAGACAACAACCAGAAGATTCTCGGCTGTTCTAACAAACTCCAGTGTCAGAAGGAAAAGAACACCCAGGACAGGGCAGGGTTCTGAGCCCCGGGCAGACGTGAGAAGAAACAGGCCATGTTTTTGGAAGCAGGTCATCAGTTCAGGGGGAAGTGTACTCTCCAAGGAGGCACCATCAGGCTCCATGTTCAAATGAGCACGTTGCCGTTCGACAGTTCAGCTTGGAGCAATATGAGTTTTGTCCTGGGTTCCCCAGGTCATGTGAAGTTCATTCCCACAAAGTTATGTTTAAAAGTCAAGTGTAGGGGCTGGAGCGATAGCCCAGTGGGTAGTCATTTGCCTTGCACAGACTGACCCGGGTTTGATTCCCAGCATCCCATATGGTCCCCCGAGCATCGCCAGGAATAATTCCTGAGTGCATGAGCCAGGAATAACCCCTGTGCATTGCTGGGAGTGACCCCCCAAAAGCAAATACATCAATATTTAAAAATTAAAAAAATCAAAGTCAAGTGTAGCCCACTTTTCCTCCCCTGCCTCTGAACGCCCCAAATTTCTCAGGTCTGGGGCCGCCATTAGCTTCAGGCAACCCTTAAGCCCAGTAGTTCTCAGGGCACGTCAAGCTCTGGATTCTTGCTGTGGACTCCAATAAGCCAGATTCAATACTCAGTCCACGAGCAGACTAACTCCTGCACAAACCAGTGTGCTCTGCTTCTTCCTCTGGTCTGCTCCAGGCCATCCCTCCTGTCCCCTTCACCTTTCCGTGGCCTCTCATGAAGACCCTCTGGCCTACCCCGGGCCCTGGCTTCTGGAACACCGCCACTGACACAGCTGCCATCCATCAGCCTGGCAACTCCCTCACTGTAAGTACCTGAATTACAGACCTTAACTAGAAACAGAAAAGCATCTAGAACAGTTCAACTATTGTGTCAAATGACAACTGAGTCGATTAACAATTCTTCTTCTCGCAGTAAAATAAAAGTAACCCCCAAATAGTAAGTAAGTCCCCAAGAGTGGACTTTCTATTAAGGTCAATACAAGTTCCATGCTCAGCAGTTGCCGGCTTCATGAAAACAGATCAATAAAGCACTGCCACTCGACATGACCGGATCTGTCCTTTCGTGGCCCCCAATGGAGGGTCGGGGACACACAGCAGCCCACAGCCCAGGTTCATGCTTAATCAGAAACAGAGCCATGGCAGACGACTCACAAAGGACACGACAGAACAGGCAAAGGCGGGGACAGCAGCAGTTGGATGGCTACTCACTGTACAGATCCGTTTCGTCCAGAATCTCGGACTTGATGATCTCTTCGATGACATCTTCTAAGGTGACGATGCCCAGGACTTCATAGAAGGGATCGCCCTCCCCCTCGTTGTTGACTCGCTGCACAATGGCCAGGTGCGATTTACCTTCAAAGAAAACCGAAAGAAATACGGCGGAGTCAGTGGCCATCTGCTGAATTTCCAGAACGGGATCAGGATTACTGAAGAGAAACCAACCAGTGAACACGGAGACTGACTAAATCACTCCATTCTGCAGTGGCAGGTGGGGGTGGTCTGGAAACAGCGCCACAAAGGGGCGAGAGCTTGACAGCCAGGGCAGCAAAGCCCGAAGACCCTCGGCCCCGGGCAGGTGCCATGGGGCATGGGAGCACAGCGCCTCCTGGTTGCCTCTTGGCCAGCACAGCGAGGTCTCTGGGCCCCCAGGGTGCCCAGGATTCCTCTGGGAGGTCAGCAAGGTGAGAGTGTTTTTTCGCGCTGTAGAAGTGCTCCTGGCACTGCTGAGACAGCCCAGAACACACACACACACACACACACACACACACACACACACACACACATACACACGCACGTGAGTGCTTGCTTGCATTCAGGAAGAGGCACAGAACTTTGTGATGCAAGCAACCTTGATGAAACAGAAGGAAGAATTTATTTCATGAAACCCTTTTTTTCTTGGGGGGCTGGTCACATTGGGCAGTAGCAGGAGTCACACCCAGTGGAGCGTGAAGTGCTAGATACGAAACCTGGGCCTCCAGGCACCTGTCTCAAGACTCAGGTGACCAAATGGCAGATGTGAGAAGATACTTGTCCTGCTTTCATCAGTTAGTGGCGTTTGCTTACCCGCTTTTCTTACTATCACTTTTATGCGTAAGAATCACTACTGGGCTTTGAGAGTCTGACATTTTCTTTAAAATTAAAAAAAAGGGCCTTTTAAATCAAGGGAAAAAAATAGATGGATTTGCTGCCAATTAAATGGCAACTTTTCCGGGAAAATCAGAATTTGGGGAAACTTAAATCCACTTCCACCAGGTTGAATGGGTTTCGGTGAGGATTTTTCTGATGAGACAGTTGTTGCTTCAGGGGTGTGAGGGAGGAATCTACAGTGGTGCTTACTCCTGACTCTGTGCTCAGGGATCACTCCTGGGGGGGGCTCGGGAAGGACTAAATGTTATGTTGGGGACTGAACTGGGGTGAGCTGTATGTAAGGTAAGTTGCCTTAGTCCCTTACTTAACTGGCTCCCAAGATAGGGATTGCTTTAACAAAAAAGTGACTTTTTAAAAATACCGAATCATGTGGTTTTAGGTTTTTTGTTTTTTTTAAACCTGCATAACTCAGCAGACCAGGATTTTCCAGACAACTGTGGCAATGCTATTACCGTTATGCCCGAGTGAACCACCTCTCGCAGGGCCGGGCAGAGCCAGGGGCTGCGGCCGGGAAAGGGGCTCCAGGCAGGGCGTGCTTCGCAAGCGTGATGCCTGGGGTTCAACCCAGGACACGAGAGGACCGGGGGAGGGGAGTGTTTCACAGGGGCCATATCGGGCAGGGCTGGGACCAGGCCGTGTCAGTACTGAGATAAACTTTTACTTTGGACTGACACACTGCCGAGCGTGGAGCAAGCTCCTGCTTCCGCTGTGCTGGGCCTCCCTGCTGGAGGATCTCACATTTCCTTAATGGATTTGCCAGAACTTAAGAAAGCGACAGGTTCGTTACTAGTAAGCTCCAGACTTTATTTGGATTGCACCAGTTTCCCCATCAATGTCCTCTTTCTGTTCCAAGATGCTATTCAGAGCAGCACTTTGGATTCAGCTGACATTTTTCCTGGCCTCTGGTCTGTGAGTTAGTCTTGTGTATTTCTTACATATTTTGGGGCGAAGGGGACGCTCCCAAGTGGGGCTTAGGGTACCTGGGGCCACTCCTGGCTATTTCTGGCACCTGGTCTAGAGGTTCAATGCTGGGCCTTAGGGCGTGGCTCTGCTTGGGCTGTGATGTCAGGGACTACTGTGATCCAGAGCCTCCAGAACTACCCAGTGCTGGGGGAGGGGGGAGGGACTGAGAGGATAGGATTGTTCTGGGTTCGGCTGCGTGCAAGGCAAGTGTCTCATCTCCTGTACTGTCTGCCAGATCCCTTGTTCCTTACTTTTTAATAACCCAGTCACTGAGCACTGGCCAGGATCCCAGACAGTGATCTCTGATGTGGCTGGCTGGTTCTCTCAGGACTGGATTACACGGGGCTTGTGCGTCTCCAGCACCAGCCTCTCTGGGCCAACCATGGGACGGTGGTGCTCAGCCTCACCCCCCGGTCAGTTTCCTGGGCTTCTCCACTGTAAAATCACTCATTCCCCACTCTAGTCCACTCACCTGTCGGGCAGATGGGGGGTGGGCGGGGACTAGACTCTACTTCCTGGGAAGGGGGAGTATTCTGTATATCACCTAGGATTCTTCTGTAAGGAAGATTTCAGTCCAAGGAATTTTGATATGACAGTGGACCCACTCCACTTGGTATAGATTCAGATTGCAACGATTTTTTAAAAATTTTTGGGTCACACCTGGAGATGCTCAGAGGTTACTCCTGGCCTTGCACTCAGGAATTACTCCTGGCGGTGCTCAGGAGACCATATGGGATGCTGGGAATCAAACCTGGGTCAGCCATGTGCAAAGCAAATGCCCTGCCTGCTGTACTACTGCTCCAGACCCATTGCAATGATCTTTAAAAAAAATTTTATACACACACACACTCTATGTGTGGAGTCTGCGTCCTATGTTAAAGGTACTATTACACAATTGCACAAAAAGACTTTTAAAATATAGTACCTACAGAGCCAGAGGGATAGGACAGGAGTTAAGGTGCTTGCAAGCACCCGATCCCAGCTTGATCCCCGGCATTTCAGTTGGTCCCTGGAGTACTGCCAGGGGTGATACCTGAGCACAGAGCCTGAACAAGCCTCTGAGCACAGCCAAGTGTGGCCCCAGACCCCCACCCCCAATACACTCCTTTTCCAATTACAGCTGGCCCTGACTAGCATTACATTATATCAATGAGGGAAAAAATATATCTATGCCAACACAAGGGAACGGGTGTTATTCACTGACGAGAAGTGGGAACTGGCCGTGCACAATTCTGAGGCCAGCTGTGACAGTCGCACACTGCAGAGACATGGCAAGCAGACCCCACTGGGTGGCAGATAAGCAAAAAAAGTTTTTCCTGTGAGTTGGTTTTGTTGTTGCTGTTGGTTTAGGGGCCACATCTGGAGGTGCTCAGGGGTTACTCCAGGCTTGCACTCAAGGAACACTCCTGGCAGAGTCGGGAGGGAGACCATCTGGGATGCCGGGGATCGAACCTGGGCTGGCCACGTGCAAAGCAAGTGTCCCCATGCTGTACTGTCGTTCCGGCCCCCTTTTGAGTTTTTACGAAACTTGATTGCGCACTGTGCTACGGCCGCAGAGCCGAGCCCATGCCCCGTGCCCGCGGAGGATGGCAGCCAGCACGCCCATGGGCAAGGCATGTGCGCTACCACTGAGCCGCGTCCCGGTCACCTGTAAAACTGCCCTGCTTGATTTACTGCTGTTCTTTTAAAGTGAGTAAGATGTCTGAAACTTGTTTTCATTTCAAATAAAGTATCTGAAGATAGAATTCGCATGAATTTGAAAGGTCCTTGACTATGGGTTTTTTCTTTCTTTTCTTTTTTCCCTTTTCTCTTCTTTTCTCTCTCTTTTTTAAAAAGAGTTAGTTTAAAGAGATCTGGAGACAAAAAAAAAAATTGAAGACTGCTCCAGGAGCCAGGCGGGCTCTCTGTGGAAGGCCCCTCTGTGGGCACACAGTCCTGAATTTGAACTCTAACACTGCCACTTGTTGGCTGTGACCAGCTGTGTGACCACAAGCATACGATGTGACTTGGGAGTGCCCGTCTCATTTCCAAAGCCAGGTTTCTAGTCATTGATGCCACATGGTGAGTGTCTGAGAAATGTTGGTACCTAGCGAAGACAGTGCCTGGGGTCCACTGGAGATCAGTGAGTGGAAGCTCATTCTCTTACTCAAAGGTGCCGTCAACTTACAGGAAAAGGAAACACTACAGTAAGTGTCTACCAGGATAGAAAGATGCAACACAACGTCAGAAAGATCTTTTAAAATACTAAATGCAGGCTGGCAAGCTGTCAAACCATCCCAAGTAGATCAATTTCCAAGATGAGAACTCTGAGACCTTCTGAAAATGGGGAAGCAGATCCCCCATCCTGCCAGGAGTCTAGCAGCCCATACCCACAACCAACAAAGAAATGGCCCCACTCCACAACCTAACCTCATCAAGTCACCAAATCCTCCCTGTTCCACAGCTCCTGGAGTGCATGGCACAGCACCTCCAAATTTCACAGTACTGACGGGGCAGTTGGAGCCCAGCAAATTTGATGGGAAAGTTGTGCAGAACCCATTAAACTCAACGAGCGAAAATGGTAACGCAGAAGGTTCAACTAGCCCCAACCAGCCCAGTAAATCCTCAGACAATGACCTTAGTAACACCATTGTGAGATACAACAATGATCACAAATTGACTCTCATCGAACTAGTTTTTGATAATTCCATTCGCCATTTTGTTCTAACAAGCAATGGGAAATAAGTGTTTGTGCCTGCCGAGGAGGGCAGGCTTGGTGTGGGGCCGTGGGGGTGGGAAACAGGGGACATTGATGGAGGGAAGGTCACACTGGTGATGGGACTGTTGTTGGAACACTAAATGCCTGAAACAACTGTATTATGAGCAACTCTATACATCATGGTGTTTCAATTAAAATACTACGAAACTGCTAAATGAGTCTCACAAACGCCAAGGCTGATTTTTCCACCCAAAGCATCTGCAACATATCCTTAACATACATACACCCACCTGTATTCTTTTTTTCAAGGCGGGGTTGTTTTTAGGACTGAGGGTAGCAGGGGATCCTTTAACAGTCTAACCTGAAACAAAGCCAGCTAGACAAACAAAAAATGCTCTCTCAAGGCCAGGTCTCATTACGTTCCCAGCACTGGCTTTGCTTCTGTAGGTCTGATCGCCTCTTTCCCCTCCACCTCCGGCCCCTCTCTAAGCAACCATGTCCGGAAGCCTATTAGATTGTTAGACAATTAGGCATTCTAGCAATT